CGTTGGTCGCTGGGAAATCCGGCCCTTTATTCATTAGGAAACCGCTGGTATATATTTGGCTTCGATTCAACTCTATGCATGAAGCGGTCAGTCATGCGCTCAATATTTTGTATTAATTGTATATATATAGTTAGTTATACACTCAGACACTTGCGTGCAGTCGTGCACCATGTCTCGCTGCAAGGTATACACTTTTTGATAAACTGTTATAAATTATGTGAGCTTGGCTTAAAATCGTTGTTCGCCACTTTGCTGCGTTCTTTATACGCATGTTAGCCATGTTTGGAGTCCAAATTAGTCACGCACACAAGTGCCATGTTGTTTTGGCTTGAAAAATAGAAAAACACACAAACATTGAACAAATCTGGAGTCAATTGACGTAGATCTCTCTGCTCTGCCCCAAAATAGGCAATTCCAAGCCTGTATCACGCTATAAGATGCTCACTTTAGTCCGAGTGTTCCAGCTAAAGTCAACTATTGTTTAGATTACGGAATTTATGATAACTCAGAGTCAGTTTTACGTTGAAAATACAAGGCCAAACTCCAAACGTTAGCGCGATTCTAAACTGAATCACTTACTCACAACTTACCGCAATTTGTATGATCGAGAGAGCAGACGTCATGCTTAACCGTCAATGACGGCCTATGCACTCAATCGGGCAAAATGGGAGGAAAATATATATGTAATTGGCCACTCGCGGTTAGGTCGCAGCAGGGAAACTATTGCTATTCATTGTTTGCTGTTTGTTCCCATCAGGCATACTAGCATAGTGACATTTTCGAATAGAGAACGCTAATTGCATGCTGTTTGATTCGCAACACCCGACAGTGGTATACAGTATAGCGACTGACATTTTGAACTCCCTGAATAAAATCGTACTATGTTATGATCTAATATCATACTATGCGTTAGTACTTCACTTGCTCTCGGCACCGACTCGAATTACTTGAATCGAAGCTGGGATACCTTTTGGTTAGTGCTGAAATCTGAAATGCGAAAATCTTGCATGCAGTGAAACTTTGATCGCTATCAGCTCAGCTGCACAAAGCGCAAGCAGACGTGCGTTGAATATTTACGGGCATACGTAATTGGAAAAGTATAGAAAAAATAATGTAACAACTCGATTAATGCTCTAAATCCCTTTAAGTTAATCTCAATTTGCTTTCCTAATTGTATTTAGATGAATTCCCATTCCCTTATCTTCCAAAAATGCGCCAAATGTATACTTTTACTTTAGACAAGTTTGTACGCGCAAACGTGAAGTTAGATAGGATTTCATTTGCCATGCAGATAAATTGCACTAAATTAATTTGGCGAAATTATTTTAACATGTGAGTGCTGTGACTGAAGTGCATTCCATAGATTCTGTATTTCATAAAGTTTATAGCAACCAGTGCGTTTATTTATCACGAGGAATGCATGTGTGGTTGAATGATTCGTTCAGTAATGAGCCCAATTGACCGGCAAATGTCGTCCTGCTTCTCAAAATGCTCTGTCAACGCCGTTGTGTTACGCAAATGAAACGTGATGATCGTCTCTTGCTTTCCAAACTATGACGGTTTCAATCAATGCCCATCACTTCTAAATCCTGGTGTTGCATTCTGTACGATATGGAACTTTTTGTGGTAGTTTTCTGTTTGTACAACTGAAAATCCACACATCTTATAGAGTTCAGTTAATACCCTAGATGCCAGCGGCTGGTTGTTCGAAAGACGTTTAGCTTAAAAGGTGGATTAGTTGAAAATGGAAAAAGATCGATTTATTGAACAACTGAGCTGAAATATTTCGATGTAAATAGTTTAATTTTCAACGAAAGAACATATTCAATGCATAAAATGTAGTTTCACTTTGGCTTATATCCACCGTTTAAGCTAAACGCCTTTCGAACAACCGAACCCAGGGGCCGGTTGTACCAAGCCCGTTTAGCTTAAACGGTGGTTAAGTTCAAAATAGAAAGCAAGCCTATCGTTTTATTCAACAAGCTAACTAAATATGTTTAACCTTAATACAAAGATACTGTTTACAACTACATATTCAGTGCATAATATTCAAGTCGACTCATTCAAGAGAGATGTATAAGAGTGTTATATTTAATTTTGACTTCACCGTTAATCCACCGTTAGTCCAACGGGCTTGATATACAACCGGCCCCAGTCGTACAAATATAGATATCGATAATAATTGATTGTTTGTTTGAAATTGTTTGATAACAAGATTTTACAACAGCGAAAACAACCTAAAAATAACACAACGATTCCGAAGACACATGCAAGTCAAACATAGTAGGAAAATAATTATTTTAACTATATCAAATAATTTAACATCTTTTTTTATCCAACCAATTTACAATAATTTTACTTGCCAACTACCGACCGTAAAAGGAGTTGAAATTAGAGAATATATCGTTGAGCGTGCACTTATACTTGTGCAGTTGTAGCTACTCAGTGTGAAAAAACAACAAAGCAAAACTGCTAAACATATAGCCTTATACGTGTAAGGATGTGAATAAAAGTATCCGTGTTAGCACGTTGTTGACTGTATTTGAAAGACAGAACTGATCGACGCTGTGAGCCTGTGTCTGACGGATACTCCGTCAAGGGAAGACATTGTCTGCGAGCAAAAGCTTTGTCTAAAGGAGTGTCAAACGATATTGTTTTCAAAATCCGTGAAGTACAATGAATCATTTAGACACAATTTAACAGCCGGATTAACGAGGAAACGTTTTTCTTTTTCGCCGGACAGTGGGAGTGCTAAAGTTCCGTTTAAAACATAATGCCGGTGAAAACGCCAAAAGAACAGAAGATGCTCACCTTCAAAGGCCGGAAAATAGGAAGCTTGTATATAATATATGCACGCGTATAATAGCTATCAAGCGACATTTCTCGGATATTTTTGTCAGACAACATGCGTAATTCACTGGCATCACTCCGATGATTTATGATGTGGATGGTCGGTCACAAGTGTGAAAACCTGATAAAAAATCATTGAGTTATGACCGTGCATTGAATTTTTTAAATGTTGTTCGGTTACCACTTACACCTGCGATGCAAGTTTTCGCGCATATTTGCGGCTCATTGACTGAGAGTGCGGCATACCTGATCGAACAGTAGATCGACTCGACTGTTCCTTTCCCTAATTTAATTATAATACATCTCAGGCGTAAGTAAGGTGAAAAACAAACTGATGAAATATGTTCTTAACCGAATGCGGGACATTCTTGGCCGTTCAATAGGCCGCAATAGGTCATGCGCCGATTACTGATAAATTTTCTCCTTGAATCGTGTTGACGACTGATCCAATGGCAATGCACTTATTTGTGTCGTTTTGACTGACTCAGTATTCAATTGTTATGAATCAAATGGGAGGATTGCAAGATGTAGAGGTCAAAGATAGGACTACATGCATCCATGCAGAATGCCACGGAGAAAAACACATGCCATGGCCGGCGAAAAACACGAGCCAAATTGCCGGCATTAAAATTTGAAAGTCGCGTATTTTGTCAAAATAAAAATCAGAAAAATGTCGGATGAAATATCTGGCGCGCATACCTACTGACCTTTAAAGGTGAACATTTTGCATTTTTGTTCATGATCAGGTGATCGTAAGTTTAAAAAAGGAATTTTCATAGTGTTTTCACACTCAATGAGTGAAAATTATTATCCTTAAATTTCTCTTGTCAATTTGCCAATTGTATTGAGTCAAAACGATTCATTGTATAACTCAAAGACACCGAGAGCAGAAACTTTTGACACTCTTTCAGGCAAAGCATTGCGGTGAATTGTCAAAAACATATTAATTTTCGTTGCTTTAACTGAACAAAGTAGCCGAATTTGATTTACAGCAATACATCCTGTTTCATCAAGCTATAGCACTGGTCAATTCACGTCCTCTTTTTATAAGACCTTTCCCTTGAGTATTGCATGTCAATGGAAACACGTTTGATTAACAGGAATTAATAACATCAATATAACACGAGCAGGATTTTGACAGGCAGCCAATAGGATAATGCTTTATGATTCATGTTTTCCCAACAAGACAACCGTAAGAGTGAATCTCTTTGAAGTGGATTTACGTGTCTTATTCTTTACCGAGTTCAGACACAATAGCAGAAAAAGTGAATCTCGTAACTTTATACTAGTTACTAGTATCGTTCCCGTCCCGTAAAAAACATATATCAGTCTTATCATATAAATATATATAAGTATGCATGGTTTCCGTTTTTTACTACAAATAAAAACTGTGATCGGTTTTCACTTTTTAGAACTGCCGTTGTTTTCTAATTACCATAAGTGGTCGTTTGTAAATAAGTAAGCGAGAAACTCCCGCAGTCAATACTTTTAATTCCCAAAGACGTTGTCATCGGTCAGTGCATGGGTTCAAGTATCTCCTGTGTAACTGCAATAAGTCAGGCACACCTTAGGGCAAGGCATTGTGATTAAATTTCTTAGGAGTGCACACTTCGTGAGCGGATGACGGCATAGCTTAGCCCTGATAAAGGCTAAGCCTTTCTAATACCACGCATTGCTGTCGGCCAGTCAGTTAGTGCTGCCGGAAACTTGGCTTGTGTGTGTGTCAAGTTGATAAGCATTCCGAATAGGTTTCAAAACTTTATTTGTTCGCCGGATTAGTCTTTTCCGCCTCCTGTCTTCGTTAATGAGCAATCATCTGTCACCTTTGTCAACGTTCGACCAATCAGAAGGCAATGCTTTAAACGCCTGGCCAATCAAAAACCGCTTGCGAAAGCATCCTAACTATTAGGTTTCGTCGCATCATATAAAAGAGTGGTCGCTTTTGTATCAGCTCAAAAGGAGTCTAAACGTACTCTATTGTAACTCAGCAGGTTGGCGAACCATTTAGGGGACAACAAACCTTTTAAGACGACTTGTAAAAGACGACACGCGAGATTCAAATCTGTTTGCACTCAGCGTTTAACTACAAGCTAAGCGGCAGAAATTCTACGTATATTTTGAAGACGGACGAGTATTTTGTTATATCCAGTATGCACGACCAGATAAACCGCAACTCAAGGCCAGACTCTTTGTACTCAAGGAGATTTGCGAGACGTTTGCCCGATGGTGGCGTAACGACAGATCAAAATCAAAACAATATTAACGCAAGGAACAGGCCGCTGACTTTCAAAGAAAATATCGCACCGCTCAGCCCGACAATCACGGACTTCAACCGATATTCCTTTCCAATGTCGCCCTGTTCTCCGAGTGGGAAATCCACCAAGAGCTTCTCAGACGCTCTGAACGAGAGCATAAACATTCAGCGGCAGGAGAAACGAACTGTCTCGCTCGTGCCCGAAATTTTACTACACTCGGCCGTGCTGGAGAACAACATCGAGGAAATTTTGAAACTTCTAAAAGTTGACGGAGTCGACGTGAATCGCGGCGCACAACTGGGACTATTCTCGCTGCACCACGCCGCGTTTTCGGGTCTCGAAGAAGTCACGGAGATTTTGGTCGAAAACGGTGCGGACTTCAACATCACGACGCCAGAAGGATTGACCGCCCTCGAAGCGGCAGTTTGCGCTGGGAACTTCGAATGCGCAGAAATTTTAATCAGAAATGGTGCGCCTGTTGACAGCATCAAGGACGGATTTGTTGACCGAAGTTTTTGCAATTTCATCGGCAGTAATTCGATGTCAGCATAAACAGGAAACCTGCGAGCCTTTCGTGGTGGTCAGAACAAGGAAGAACGCCAATTCGATGCCAAAATACCGCCGAGTAAACTGGGTAGCTAGATGAACTCTGTCCATAATTGACCTCTGCAAATTGCTCAAATTATCTTCACCGACAAACAAAATGTTCGCGGGACGGTAATAGTGTCATAATTGCCAATATACTTTTGCAATGAAAACAACTTGATTTGCATTAGTTTACGTTTCGAAACAGCGCGCGAGTTGCCAAATTTCCCATTCTGCATCAGAAAACGAGCTGTGCTTCTAGTATTTTGTGAATTTAAAATTTACGAAATTTATACTCATTTCGGGATGATTTCGCAAAGTAACTCAAAATTTCCACCTTTTTTATTTCATTTCGCCAACCATGTATGGTCCGGCCATAATTTCATATTATGATTCTTTCTGTATTCTCAATTACGGAACACCATTGGCTGGTTTTTTATGATAAGACGAAATCGCCTTCCTGTTGCTGGCTAGCCTGAAGGCAATCTGGCAAAACATTATCAACGCCGAACTCCATATTGAGAACAATCATTCGGTCACTCGACCAAATAGTTAGTACGGGTGGTCAGACTTTTTCATGCTAAAATATATTCGCGTTTATTTTCATTTTCAATCACTTAATAGTGAGAATAAGCGGTGGTCAGAAATTTCTAAACATACATCTGAAGGGATTAAGTTTGCATCAACCACCATATATAGTTTCGATTCCTCTTTTGCAACACAAACGTGTGAAATTTAACTGAGCGGATTTCGTTTCGAGCCAAAGGTTTTCCACACACTCTTGAGAAGACAGAACCCGAAATTCGAATAATATTTCATGTTTTGTATTAATCAAAGTTAAATTTCAGTCGTAATCTAAAAGTCATTTGTTTCGCACGTGCTTTGCGCAATCTTCTGCATGTTTGCGCATGTCTTTTCACACGCGCAACTGCAGACGCATGATTTCACTGGGCAAATTTTGCTTCGCTGCTAGGTTTTGAAACGTAAACAGCCCACACTATCGACGTCTGTGTTACGCGATATGCTAACATATTAATTTCAAACGCGAGATAACAGCAGATTGCTTCTATCAATCGATGAAGTGCAAATTGTCAAAACTGCTATCACGCGAGATCCCACTCATGTGCTATGACGTTGGCGCAAACGGGTTTACTTAGAAGCATCCCGTATATACCCCAGCGAAGGGCGTGAATTTGTGTTTGTTTTACAAAATCTTCGTGTGGCTCGCATTACGGTGGTTTTCGTGACGGAATTAATGGTTTCCGCTATTGAATGCACTTATTCCCATTTAACGAGCTATCAAAACGTGCTGATGAATCAAGTTTAAAAAAAGTCACTGGTGAAATCACGCTAAAATTTTCGTATACTTCGAATAGTTTTAATTCTCGAATTAAATAGCCACAAAGGATTCACGGACATCTAAATTGGTTAACAATAAACGACTTTAAACCCACCGAACAAAAGTACTAAAAATAAGGCAGGATTAAGTATAGCTACGCGATAAAAAATAATAACTTTCGATCCGTAGTCTGTTTCAGAACACTTTCTAGAACGACCGGTATATAATAAGAAACCGTACTTTAACCGGTGTTACCAAATTTCTAAGTTATAGTTTCTTTTATCTCATTAATCATGCATTTGATGTTTTTTGTTATCTGACTACAAAAGATAACATTTAAAAAACCACCAATTGATAGCCACGTGAAGGTTTATTTTGTCTGCAAGAGAATTTATTTATTCAGGGTTGGCAATTTGCATCGCATCTATTAGTAGGTTGTTTCAGGAGCGTCAAACAGCTGAGCGTCGCTGCGGGTCGCGATTGGGGGTCGGTGATTACGGTGCTGAGTGATTTGCATGGGAACTCGTCTCGAAAGTAATATAGGAGTTGAAATTATATGTTAATGTTAGGACTGACACTCGGCTCTACGCGCACTTCTATACGTTTTTATACATGGAAATCATCGCGCTTCATTTGTAAATATTTACCTTGGCCACTTGTAAACAATCAACAACGCTGGAACAGTCGAGAACCGAACATTTACATTTATTTAAATGCAAACTGTTAGATAGAATTGTACATAGAGTAAAAGAATGTCTTATTTATTAAAATCGTTATCTAAAAATATGTATCCTGTTTTTTTTCTTGTCTGGCTGATATTTATTTTAGTGCCCACCACCCATCGGTGGGGAGATTAATTATTTCATTCACAGGAATAGCTATGGGCTGTTTGTGGTTGTGTACTTGTTTTTCAAAATATCGGGAGTAGTATATTAACTATACATATCAACCTATTATATATACTCATTGAGTACTGAGGCCGATAGCAAGAAAGATGGATAGCGCTATATCCACCGGATTGCGATTTTCCCACCGTTTTAAACATGTTTAAAAAGCAATAACATTACACTTTAGGGCTACAGTTATTTGAAAGGGGACACTAAATTCAATTATATCAAGGTTGATTTCAGGTTATACCGAACAACGGGCAATTTCAAAGCGATTGAAAAAAACAGCCGGTATCAGGTGGATAGCGCTATCCGGCTTCGTATTTCAGTTCTAATAAGAAAAATGATAGCGTTGTTACTGAGATGAACAATAAAAAATGAATTCCCAAGCGAACCAGGCATACAGGATCAGCGAGTTACAACCTGATTTCACATCACGTTTTCACGCACGCGTTTGCAGCAAAGAATGAAATTTGCTATCGGTCTTCGAGTAGATTACCAATAATTCGGCACTCGGTCTGTTTGATAACACTCAAGTTTCTAAAGCAGATTCTATCTGCTACATCATAGCTCGGTGACTCTGTCTTCCCGAGAAAATCGGTCACAATTCTCACAGGTTATACTGAATAACAGGCAATTTTAAAGCGATTCACAGTATATATGGTGGACAGCGCTATATCCAGCTTTCATATTTAAATTAGAAAAATGATAGGATTGTTACTGAGATCAACGATAAAAAAAATAAATTCCCAAGCGAAGCATGCAGACATACAGGGTCAGCGAGTTACAAACTGATTTCACATCACGTTTTAATTCATGCACGCGTTCGCAACAATGAGAATGAAATTTGACATCGGTCTTGGTGTAGACTTCCAACTCGGCAATAGTCTGTTTGATGACATTCTAGTTTCTAGAGTAGATTCTCTGCTGCAGCAATCAACATAGATATGTCTCATTGAGAAAATCGGTCAAAATTCTCAACCAAAACCGAAAACATATCAGGAAACGTAACATGTTTTTCAAAGTTTTTTTATCCTCTATGACTATGTACACCCGCAGACGTTCTAATGTAGATCCAGTTGATAAAAAGGAGATCATAAGGGCACTCAATTAATTCTGATTAATTTAACCCATATTGTTATAATCAATTTGACACGGTGATTCAATATCCACACTTAGGCCTGTTTTTCATTTCAGTATCGTAACGTAACGTAACTTAGCGTATTTCTTTGTTTCCGAAGTATTCGACCAGAACTTATGACTTTAAAACAACGGGATACGACACGTTTCGCTACGATTGAAGTGGAAAACGGCATTTACAGTAACAAAATAGCTGACAGAGTTACAATGAGTTGTTTTTCCGCTAGCTTGTTTATTTACATATATGGTGAGGTACAACTGCTGCAGTTTTGAGTTTCTTTGTTTTTTTCAGAAAGTGCACAGGTTTAATCATCGATCATCAGACACAGTGTTTGTGATAGAATGTTGATATCACAAACTCATTCGGATCTTGTCTCGGTATGCTAGCTGCTTTTAAGATGTTAATCTTCGGGAATTTTTTTTATAGTACATTATTATAACTTTGACGTTTAACTGGTGTTCATTTAGGGCATGCCTGCCGGCCGAGCGGTAAAATTCTTTACCGGTTAGCGGGCGGATTATCATTCCGGTTTTCCAAGAATCTCAAACATCATCCTGCCTGCAAGGGCGACGTGCGTCTCAGACATTGTTCAGCAGTTCAGGCAAAGTAATATCTCGTGCATGGTCGCCATCATCTTTGAAGCGGAATTGAGGACTAGTCCCAGTCTCTTTCTATACCGTTTGTCGGCGCGATCGTCAACCGTGAAGACAAAAACCACTTTACCTAAAGATTGCGACTACCAAATTGTCGTTATATGGTTAACATATAATTCGCTGCTTTACACTTAACTACCTTGAATGCGCTGTGTATAGGTATTTTCAGCCAATTGTAGTTATATTCTTCACGGTCACCTACCTCTGAGCCTATGCTGGGGTCGGTTGTATCAAGCCCGTTTAGCTTAATCGGCGGATAAGTCAAAATTAAATAACACTCTTACATCTCTCTTCAATGAGTCAACTTGAATATTGTGCACTGAATATGTAGTTGTAAACAGTATCTTTGTATTAAGGTTAAAAACATTTAGTTTGCTTCTTGAATAAAACGATAGACCTGCTTTCTATTTTGAACTTAACCACCGTTTAAGCTAAACGGGCTTGATACAACCGGCCCTTGAAATTTAGTAATTTACTCTGAGCCTCGTATCAAAGCTTTCAACATATCCAGTTGTTTGATCTCAAAGCGTATTTCATGGCGTTCGCATTTTCTTCGCAATTTTTCTTCCAATTCTATTGCAGTGCTTGTTTTCCCCTTTCTGTAGGCAAGCAATGATTCAGCAAATTTTTGGTACACTTGGCTGCGTTTTGACAAGTCAGACTCTTTGGAAATGCGGCTCAAAATTGTTTCGGCAATGTTAACTTCGGAAATCTTGGGAGCCTCTACTATAATACCATGCTGGTAATAGCCAAGATGACACAGAGCCTTGCGTAACTTGACCTGAGTAATTGTTACACTTTTATCAACTGTGGATATTTCACAAAAGTGGATACATTTGTCCAAGTGGAGTAAGATGTTTTCGCGATCACCTGCGCTATTTTTGCCCGATGATAGGTATATATTGGCTTTCGCGCAGTTGATTTCAGCCCTGTCCTCGTGGTAATCTCCGTTGCTCAACATCAATTCAGCCTCGTGTACCTCTTTTATTGCTTCATCGTCCTTACCACGATCATGTAAAATATATGCTTTGCGGATCTTAACTCGAGCGAATAATGCCAATCTTAAAAAAGGCCAAATCAGTATATATTAGCATAGATATATAAGCCCCGTTTACACTACACTCAATTTATCGGCACGGCACGGCTAAAATTGGTACCCGTACCAAATTTTATTAGTGTTCAGGCTACCAAAACAAAGGCCGAGCACAGATGAAATAGGCACGGGTACCCATTTTAGCCGTGCCGTGCCAATAAATCGAGTGTAGTGTAAACGGGGCTATAGTCTCCTTTTTGCAAACTAACCATTATCACATATCTGAGTTCCATAACAATCTCAACTTAACAACTCCTTCACCAGCATAGCTGGAATAGTTTAGGATTGCCCTTAAATTGTCCAACGCCTATCTGTCTCTTTTAGACACAAGTCACAAAACGAAGTTTTTAAAAACTTTGTTAGGCTATTAGTAAAGTAATGTGGCGTTGTTATTCAGGGTGTTTAAAAAAATGAAATCGCTACTTTAACATGTCGCAACGCATTAAATATTAAATTGAAAGGTTTAAATTTTACCATGGACACTTACAGGACTGATTGATTTTATTAAAGAGTGATTTTATTATCCATGAACACACACTGAACAATGCAGTCTCAAGAGCCCTGTGGCACACCTTGGTTACAGATACTGGAAATTGCACAGTGGCATTTACTTGTCTGCATTCACAAAAATTTTTGATGATAACTTGCGCTTTCATGCAATGATACTAGGTGTTTATATTAAACAGTGTTATTATAACAAGTACCATAGTGTACCATATCTTAAAAACTTTTATGCTTCAGATTTTGCCTCTATTTTATTGCTAAACATTTACTATTAAAAGTTCCTTAGTAAATTTCCCTTATGAATTTCCCTTTCAACAACCCCCAGTACTTCCACTACTTTTATTTCTATTATGGTGCCTGTGTCCTACATTAAGCATATGCCTCATGAATAGGAAAAGTGTAATGACAAAATAGTAACTAACACCTTTACCATCCAGAAATTAACTTAAACAGGTTTTGCAATTGGGATCATAAAAGCCTGGGGTCAGTTGTATGAAGGCTGGATCTAGCACTACCCACCAGATGGTGATTTTTTCTAGTGCAACCATGAACCAGTAAACATGCATTCAGCTTTGTGGAAAAAACATACACAAAGCAGAAAAGCAGAGCCATAACTAGACCGCTTAATTGGGGTGTGTATATTCATATATTCATGTTTATATACCATAAGCACAAAAAGAATAGAAAAGAAATCAGTCAGGCATAAGACAGATGTATGAATATACCGGTACATCTCCCAATTAAGCAGTGCAGTAGCTATATGGCCCCGCTTGGCCACTTCTCTGTTTTGGGAGTTTTTCCACACACATGAATTTCATGCATGTTTACTGGTTTGTGCAGGGGCGCCGGAATATCAATAATAACGGGGGCAGATATTCATATATTCGTGTTCGCAAATCGTAAAAACAATCGATTTCAAAAGGAGTTAATAATGCAGAACACGAATATATGAATATCTGCCCCCGCTATTATCGATATTCCGGCGCCCCTGGGTTAGTGGTTCCACTACATAATCTCCTTGTGCAGTAAACATTCTCTTTAGTTACTTCGTTTGTCGATTAAGCTACACAAGGTTTTAAAATAAAGCTGGATTTATGGAATTACCTGCATTTGGGCAAGAAAGAAAGATGTGATAAAAATTTTGGTAAAGATGCAGTTTGTTATTTGTTTATAACAAACAAAGTGGTACGTGTTATAAACCGATTTCTCATAGTTTAATAAATGTAAAAAGCTACACCATAACTGAAAACCTCTAAACCTAAGAAATAAAAACTGGAAATGGGGAGAGTTGGTTGGGTTTTAAATTACTTAATGTGTATTAATATTTGAAAATCAGCTGCTATTTCACTTACCCATATTGTGTACCCAAGAGATCTTTGGCAGTTAAACTATTGAGAGCATCAAAACTTTCATCTTTTCTTGATTGATGACTGAGTGATACTGCTGATTGGATAGCAGCAAACATCTTTATGTCTAGATTATCATCAAATCCCTTGAGGAACATGCTAAGTTCATCCCAACAAAAATTGTATGACATAGAATTTGATCCATTCATTAGCTTAATATATCTTGAACTGTGGAAAATTGATGGCTTAAAACAGGATGGCACCAAGTCAACTGGACTTGACAACTCATGTTCCAGTCTGTTGATTCGATGTGAAACCGATGAAATGATTTCACTGTTTTCAAAGGTCCCAGGGCATGCAATGGCATAATTTTTCCCACCTTTGGGTTCAGATATGTTCATCTTCCTCTCCAGTGTTTTGAGATTTTCATCAATTAAGAGTAAGCTATTATGATCTTCCTGAAGCAATTTCTTATACTTTACAAGATCATCAGTTACGAATTCGGTTTCTGTTCGCAACAATCTCAAATCTTTAACCAAAGGATCTGACCTTGTGTGGAGTAAGTCCTGCACCCCTTGTTCCAAAATACCAAAGTTTCTCATGAAACTTGTGCGAGAAATTGAGGCTTCGCAAGCATGTGCAAAAACTCTATTTCTAACCTGCTTTATTTTGTGTATAGCAGTATTCACTGTTCCCCAGTGTGAACGGTAACGTATACCGTTTAAAGCATGAGAGTAGAGGAAAGCAAATACCAAAGTCGTAACGTCCCATTCTTCTACATCTCCACGTTTCAAATGATCCTTGATTGATTGACACTCCTTTGCAAATTTTGGGTCGTACAGACGTGAGTGCCGAGATAGTTGTTCTTCTGCAAGCATCTTTCTTCCGCTCGTTCCATCATCTCGCCATGGCTTAGATGGATAAAGACGGTTCCATTCTCGCCTAAATGCTTTTCTTAGAGCGGCAGTGGAATAACCTATAACTCCTTTGGCTAACCTAAAATATCTTAGTTCTCCCTCGGTATAAATGTTCATGATTATTCCAGCGCATTGGCGCATTTGATGCAAACGAAACAAGGAAGTGCAAGGAGAGAAAGGAGAGCAGAAACTCGTTCAAGAATGCAAGACTAGGAACTAGTCTGTGGCTATCGCCCACTGAGTTATATACTACACACATATATATGTGAACCTTTGGAACCCCAATTAGAAAGAATAATACGAGTATACAACGTTTTTAGCTTGCATTAGTATATGCTCTGTAAGCTGACGAGGCGCGCATTAGATTATAGCTATTATCAGTATTATGTACATAAGCCTGACAAGCGCTGGATGAAATTACTGGTCTGGCACTCGATAAAACAACAACTGCCTTCAGTCAAATTCACACTTGCAATTTTTTATTTTTTTATTAAAAATTTATTAAACCACTCACTTCGATTAGACCATTGAATTTACATAAATTTAACCTTTTTTTTGCCTTTTTTACAGTGATATGTGCAGAATAATCCCCGTCCAACTTCATTATAAAGAAAAGAAAAACGCAGAAAGGAAAAAAAGAAATACCTGAACACAAACTGGAAGGACCTTCAAGGTTCAGCCAAACACAAAAAAGGAATTACTTACCGACAACCACAGCGGAACAACTGACCATGCGAGCAAGCCAGGCCACCAGGAGGATGCAGCCAGGGACCACCACCAGAATGTCCATATCGTCCAGGCCACGGATACCAAACGACTTCCAGGGCAACGACTTTGACGGCTGCTTCTTTTGCTTCTGAATTCTGTCTTCTATCTTCTTATCACGATTTACTAGGCCTAAAAGCCCAGATTATCTCGCCTCTACCCGCCTAGCTTTATTGCCAAGCGGCCAGCAAGCAAAACCCGGTGGCGGCAACCACGTGCCTTTGGTGCGCGCGCAGAGCAGAAGAACGAAGCCGGCGAAGGCCAGTGAGCCTTGGACAGGCAAAGGCCAGCAAAATAGATATAGCGTTTCCCTTTCTTCACAGAATAAATGAAATCAGTTATTTACCCTGTGCTTCCATTCAGTGCCAAATGTCGCGCGATCGAATTTTTACGATCCCTTTTCTTTGAAATATACACAATCAGGCGGAACTATTCGCATTAGACGAGCTTGATCGAACACATTTGAAAAGAAAGCGATCGCAAAAAACCGATCGCTAACTTAAATTTCGGCCCGCGTGTCACCGGTACTTTAAATTGCTAAAATACCGCATGCATATGCTTTGTGTATTTACGAACATAAACTCTACTCTAGCTCATATTTATTTAGAAGTACAGCAAACCAAGCCATGTAAGTATTTTGCAATTTCTTGATATTTTGAGAAATACAGCGATTTGGCTTTAATGAGGATTAACTGCCTACGATTTTGTTGAAAATATCAATTTTAATTTAGCGAAAGAGCGAGAAAAAAGAATCCAAGGTACACACTAAGTACTTGTTACATAACGGGCAATCTAAATTATTTTCCCTTTCCCCGCGCCATTTTAACTAACAAAATGTATTTTGAATCTTGCGAACTAACACATTCGTGATATGATTTTCCCCATTTTTTTTTTGGCACTTACAAACCCGTTAAACTGTTTTGGGTATAGTCCATACATCGTCAATAAATTTCAGATGGGGCGTCCAGATGCTCTTTGCCTTTGTAATTTGCTTCATCAGGTTTCTCGATACTCTTCCAAGGGCTCACAATAGCCCGATTATCATTACTTACATTGAAAAATTTTCTTTCACTCGTAGCTGGTGTCGACTGATTGGTGGTAGTATCAGCTATGTTATTGAAATGGGAGCTGTCTCCTTCCCGACGTTTTAACTGATTTGAACGACTTTGAGGACGATTATGTACGATCGGATTTTGTACACGAAGATTTTGCCTGGTTCCACTGGGTAGAACAACAAAGAAGATGAACACGAACAGACCTTGGAGTGTGTTAAAAATGCAAAACAAGTATTGAAACACTGGTTTAGCATCTCCAATGGCGAGAATACCGAAAAGCCAGGTCAAACCGAGCAGTACCATAATCGCAATTCCCCGTCTAGCATGCTGAAATCCTGTCGTTTTTTTGTCTGAGGTTAGTTTGGCACCGGACGTGAGCAATGAGCGAATGATAAAGTAAAATGCCACGATGTTGCCAACCAGGATAAGAACAATTGGGGCCAAAAACGCCACGATAAACGGTACTCCGTGTAATCGACAGCTAAAAGGCACGAAGCTTTGGTTAATCATGAATATCATTAATGGTGAAATATAGAGATTATTAAAAAAAGTAATTATTAATATAAGTAAATATTTCTCAAATTAAGCTAATTTTTTTTACAAAATAGTTACTATATTTCTTGTTTTAAGATTATTTTTCTCCAAAATTTCTTGTTTTAAGAAAACATTTTTTTCTTAAAACAAGAAAATATTTTCTTGATATGTTTTCTTAGCGAGAAATTATTTCTTGCTATTCTCCCATGAAAATTTTTCTCATTTCAAGATAAAAAATCTTAAAATGAGTTTTTTTCTCTCAAAATAAGAAAGCGACTTTCTGGTGTGTACCCACCCGTGGAAACATTTGGGAAAAGAAATTTCCTTTTCCTCCAACAAAATGTTCAATCTTAAAATAAAAACGACACACGTCGCGAGCTCCGAAGTGCAATATTTATACTAATTCTACTTACTAGGTTTTGTCGCCATACTTATCCAGGGTGAAAATCGCCGTTATACTAACTATCAGAGCTGGGGTGCCTGAAGTGCAACGTTGACAAATCAAGTTAATGAATATAATTACTTAAATTACGAAATAATAGTAGTAACATGCATATAGTCGTTAGTATAATATTTATCGTTTTCATTGTCAGATATTTATGATTTTCTACTAGGAGGGTAACTTCGCATTAAACGTGGTATAATAACTGCCATAAATAAACGAAAAAAAAAATTATACCACATTCAATGCGACTAGATGTCCATATGTAACGCGGCTCTTTGGTTTAACTGGAGAATGACGGGCAGTTTTGCAAATTTCGAAACCACGGCTCGCCTCGGGAAGATATAACAATTGAAACCTTACCCCATGCAAAAAGACAGCACTTTATCATGAACTTGGTTTTGGAAAGGCGCGAATGAGTGAACACTCTCACAAATGCCTGGTACATATTGAATGCTTGTACTGCCATCCAGAAGAATGTCACCAACAACAGGTAATGAATGGCGATTGACGCTGCTCGACAGCCAACTATTGGTAATGACGTTGCCTTTGACCTCTCAACAGCAGCCAGGAATACAATCAACGTTAATGACAAAGCAACGCAGAAATTCAGCAGAATCTGGCTTGGAACTTGATTTCGAAGATTCCTGATATAAAAAGTTCGAATATTGAATATAGAGAGAACTTTTCTAAACACGCAAGCACAGTTCGATTGGTCTGTGGGTCAGTTTCGTAGGTTCATTTTGAGCAATAAACTTTGAAAATTTTGAACTCGTAAAAAAATAACATTCCGGAATATAATGTTTTTCTGCAAGTTATTAGAATTCATATTTACCTTAATATTAGAATCATAGTGATTGTCAAAGTTAGCCCGATCAGTGATAGCCCACAACCAACGTAACTAACTATACCAAGAATTTTATCATGTACAGTTTTCTCTCCTGGATAGACATCCTAAAAAATATTATTTAAATCGTCTTTACTCTATTCAACAGGTGTTCCAATTATACAAGCGCCGGATTTAACTTGAGACGGTGTTCTGAACCCCCCCCCGACCTCGTACCCAGGCTGTTTCTGAAAAGGGGCGGCGTCATCATTTGTATCATGATTTTAAATAATCGATAATTAATAATCTTACCATCAACATTGCAAAGTTAGTGAAGTGATTACAACTACAAAGCACCCTTCCATCTTCAAGAACGCGTTCAAACTTGCAACCTTCCTGCGACCAATCCCCTATGTTGAGATCCCAGTAAGAGCACAGAGTGCTTTTCGTGTCCCCTGGTTCGATCATTGGCAGTGCAATATAAACTGGAACGCTCAAATTTTCAACAGATAATCCTTTGATACTTCCAGCAATTACAAGACTATTCAGGCGACTTGACGTCGTACTCGTATCCGCCAATGACAGTCTAAAAAACTTTGTTTCTTTGTAGAGTAAAAAAATCACTACCTGGTTTGCGGAACTGTTTTTGTACGTTGTCTCATTGAATATGGACCGAGGAACAATCAGAGAAGGAGATAAAGTGTCCGAAACGCCATCACCTAATTTTTTTGAGGTGCTATTTTTCTCTAATTTATCAGGTTCTTTGATGATTCCGGAGAAATTAAGCCCACTAAAGTTTTGCGGCTTCAGGGCTTGTAAGTTAATAAGGAAGTTTCTTTCGGCCTTATCAATTGTTCCTTCGGGACCGATATCTAATGATTCTGCGACCATGTTCAAGGCTTCGACAATCCTGATAAAGATAGAATAATACATGTTGATTCTGTTGTGCATGCTGTTGTGTTGAACGATGGGTAGCGCAATTGCAAACGTGAGGTAGATATTGGGGTGGATATTTGTCAAGACCTCAAGAACTAGTTAAAATTCGTGCTACGCACTCGCCATTGTAAATACCCATACAGATCGGCCGTGCGCGAGTATTTTAACGTTCTTGTGAAATGAATTAAGCTTAATGCATAGTGGGGCAGGTGTGTAGCAAAGTTTAAATACTAATTAAGACTATAACTGTATCAAAGTTAATAATATGAATTAGTAATTGATAAGACCTTTATGATGAATTACAGATGCATGTGCACATGTGACCAAAATACTGCGCATGTAATGTTTGGAAGTTAGAAGTTAGTTTATGAATTTTACAAATTTTGTTATCAGTCTGTTATAGGCCAGAATATTGATATCTGTCGCATTAAGCAACGGAATTTGGGGCCGACGTCCTAAACATTATTGCTACGTTGTCAATAGGACGACATCTACTTTATTTCTTTGAAATCCAAACTGTAGAAGATACTGATGTACATAAAAAATGTTAGTAGCGCTTGTTGTCTTGCGAGGAACAAGATATGTTACGTCATTAATTAGAAGTCAGCCATGCATGACTCATAAAATGAACTGGAGTTAGTTTACTTAGTTATTCAAATGAAGAAACAAAGCGTCAAGAATTCAAGAAATAAATTCATAATGATATATATATTCGTTTCGTCTTCTGACTGGCTGATTGCCACTAAAAGCCTTAATTTCTCGGTATATTAATATTGCCAAGATATATATATATACCCAGTTGAACATATAACAGGAAGATTTTAAAACAGTAAAAAATGATAAATCAGTCGTTCAATGAAAGAGATCAGAAAAAGCTTTTTAATATTTGGGGGTATTATTCATTGGTGCTCTTTTTTTCACACTCTTCCTCCGTTACCTTGATGAAGAATTCTGCTTCTCTTGACCCTTTAAGAGATCCCCTATTTCGGCGTCCAGTACATTGTCTACTGTGGCCAGAAAATCGTCGAGAATCTACAAAAACCACAACAAACTGGAATTTTTTTCTTCTTGCAAAAATACTCTGTAGAGTCCTGGGGTCGGTTGTTCAAAAGCCGGTTAGCTTTACCCCGGGTTAACTCAAATTTTTACATCAATTTTTTTACTCGCTCGTTTATGAAGCTGAACATGTTTTTTCATAAATATTTTGTGGATTAATAAAAGTCTTATTTTTGTAAAGTCTTGACACAAACAGTGGTTCCGAAGCATATAAACCAAAACAGCGGAGTAAAATTTAACCCAAGGGTTAGCGCTAACCTAGCTTTGAACAACCAGCCCCTGCAGGATGAGCGCCCGCGAGCATGCAATATCGTAGAATTGGAACTTTTTTCAAATTAGAACTAGTTGCGATCATATGGCACTTATATTCCCTCACAATTATATTTCCTCCATTATATTCCCTCAGAGTTATTTTGATCATGCATGAATCCGAATATTATGGCCGATGGGATGATCATTTATAAACACAAATATTTTGCCACAACATTTTGTGTCTTTTTTGTCATTTTTTTATAACAATTCTAAAACATCTGAGTTTGTTATATGAATATTTTTGTTTACATTTGTATAATAAATTCTATATTTTACGGCGATCATGAATATATTCTTACCATTGCACTGATAAGCATTCATTGATTAAACTTTGTTTACACTATATACCGCATTATAGCATGATCATTTCAGCAATTTAAAATCAGTATTAAGCCATGTCAAAGTGAGTCATGCAGTCTAGTATGATAGCAAGATTGCTTTTACCAAATTAAAAAGTTCTGAGGACAGAGATGCCGAAAACAACCTAAGCTGATGTCGCGACCATGTGAATCCCGTATAGTGTAAACGTGGTTTGAACTATGGTCTAAGTTAAAAAAAGAAAAACAGCTACATGAATCAATCATATTATTCCAACCTCGTTTGCTTTCTCCCCCACCGCAGCAATGTTTCCTAATATTGTGGCGATATTGACAATGTCTCCAGCTCGAAGAGTGCTCTCTTCATCAACAACCGACAAGTTTTTCAACTGTTTGGATATTTTGACAACGTTGCTAACGTTTACTTTTGTCTGAAAATTCAAGCAATATATGTTGAAAAAATGTATAGAATTTTACGAGGTGCAGGAATTCGAGCAAAGTTAAGCATCATCATTAATTTTATGAGCAAGAAAGGGTGAAGAACATAAAACATAACTTACCTGCGCCAATAGGAAGACCTTTCCACTGCGAGGGTTTTGTGAATCGCATCCTGTGACCTCAATTGTACCCCACGCACCTCCACTTTTCGTTTTGTTGGAATACAAGCACTCACGACTCGCGTTGGAGTTCTTGTTGTAAGGACAAGCATGTCTATAACCATTTCCAGCTGGGGTTTTTGGCCACGTGAACACTCCATAGGCTTCGCGTGAACCAACTTCTTCCCTTGGGCAGAAACCTTTTACTGAAGAGGTCGGGGAAAGGAATAACTATAAGTGACAATTCTTGGGCCGGGTATAGAACTATAATTCTATAGGCTCAGCTTCTGACCCATCAACTGCTGCTGGCTGAAACTATTAACGGCTACACATGCAGTTTAAGGGTGATGTCTCAAATGTATACTTTATTTGAAATCTTTAACATTTTGTCCCTTCTTCTAATATTCGAAAATAAAAAGACGCATTAATGATAGTGGAGCTAGAATTTCTAGAAATGATACAATTTGTGAATACTATATATATACATTTTTTGTTTTTCGCTCAAAAAAGCAAGAATGCAGGACCCGCGACCACAAGAAGGTACATATATATTAAACGCAATATTTTAGGAATCATTACTAACCTATTGTAGGACCAGGTGTCCGCGAGGAAGGAACACTAACTACCGCAGTAGCTGCATAGGGCAAAATAGTGCTAATAGATAGTATTAGACTCGTTGTATGACTTGCTTCCAGGGTAGAGCTCGAGTTAAATGATGAGTTAAACTGTGCGACCGTCCTTGATATATCTGCAATGTACAACTGTAAATAAATTTCAAGCCGCGCGTCTTAAGAATTTAAAATCAAAAGAAAATTTTAGGATTCACTAAATGCGAATTGTATATGATCATCCATAATAATAAATAATACATTTATATCCATGCAAAAGAACTACTTGCATGCATGTGGTGTGCATATCTCTACTTTTCAAGGCGGTAGAGAAGATGGTGAACCCAGCAAAGAGTAGGAATGCATAAATTATAGAGTAACTGGCAAACATAGGCTCTGGTTTCAGAGTGAGTTTACTTAGGTTGCGTACAAAATAAACCAAGTCAAAACTGGTTCGTAAATCATGCTGAGCACAGTTCCTTTGTACTACCTCCAAGGTTGTGACTTGGCTGGCTCTCTTTTTTTGTCCTGCTTCATGTTTTCATGTGAGCCCGTTGACTGAGGCGAGATCTCGTCTCGTTCATGCGGGATCTCGCCAGAGCCGGGCTGGCCCTGTTTCATATATTATATGAAGTAATTTTACAAATAAAGTGAAATAATATGTAAAGCGAGATCCCGGCACTGCCGAGCTAGCCCGGCTAAACCGGACACTAGCAAATATAATTAGAGCTAAACAAAGCGTCTGTTTGCATTGGGAATGTACCCCACCGTTTCTTGGTTTGCATGTTCACTTTCTGACAGAGGATTAGCTTTCAACACATTTGGGATGTGATTATAGGCCTTATAGTTGGTTGAATCTCTTGAATTACGATTCGTCGAGTGCCAACCCTGTTTGAGCTTGCATGGGCATTCATTTTCGGCCATCGCTATAGAAACTGAGTTGGAAGAATGTATATTCACATGTTCGTCTTATACCCGACTGATATTGTTTTAATGATATTGTTCCTTCATGTATGTAATCATAATTAACACCCTTGCGCCCTTGGTAGTTCAGTGCAATATACCAAGACGCTGCATGAAAGTAAAAATCAATGTTGTAATGATTGCTATCATGCATATATAGTTATATTCACATAATAAGAAACCAAAACTCGGCAGTTTGTACTCAAAAACGACAAACAGCGTGATTAAAACACAGGAGGAGTTTTGATGAAGGAGAACCGCACACTGATTTTTACTTTTATCCTTGTCAGAAATACCGTGAAATAATTATCCAAGCTTCAATGTTTCTAAGTATAATGAGATGAAGGTCTCCGAAATGCCGTAGATTCGTATTATTTGTAATGAATTAAACCAGGAAATAGTAATGCTAAGTGGGAACTGATTAAAGCATAAAATAAAGGGTCTGAATCACTCGATGTTATACAATAAGTTCGAAATTTATTTACGTCACTCACCCAGACATAAGAGTAAAAATACTGCAGTTTCTACACTTGGATATCGGGATTGATACATTCTTTCCAGTCGAAATTGCACTAATTATTTGCTTTTCTTTCGTCGTGGTTAACGCAGTTAGAGTTATTCCTTTTTCGGACAGTCTTTTCCGCGAAAAATTTCCTTTATGGCATTATATGCGTGGGCGCAGATATATAAGCGTATATCTCTCTCCGGACTGCCAGCTCGTGATTGGCGGAAAATTGAAGGAATGTATATATAGTCTTATCTGATTGGTTGCTTCAAAATCTAATTAAATTACGTGGTTGAAAAACAGGATGTAAAATAAAGTTCGTGATGAAACTCTTGCATGACTTTTAATACAATAATTATGTGATTTTAATCGACTGTGCATCGGTTAAAGTTAATTATTCGCCGCCTAAATCCACAGAAGATGAAATTATATTAAATCATTATCAATGTAAAGAAAATGTTTTTTAAAGCAGGAACTAGCAGCGCTAAAGGCCAAAGTCAATTGTTTGGCGTCTAAATCCACGGCAAATAAAATTATAAACCTTTTTCAAACACAGACAAAATGTTTGGAACCGTGCATAAATCACTATCAAACAATGCAAACAAAGCCGCGTCCACATGTAAACATAAAAACGATCCGAAAACGATATAAGCGTAAAGTTATTTGATCCTGCAAAACACCGTCATGTTTTCCGTCCGCGTATATCACGGGTTGGATGTCGAATTTAAAACAAAAATCTACCAAATGCAGAACGAAAAACAAAAATGAAAACTTTGTTTGGACAGATGACAAGCCCGAACTCCTAAATACAGGGTGTCTCAAAAAAAACGCAAAGCGCAATAAAGCTTGCTCTAAAGCATCTATTGCTCTAAAGCGCAATAGATAAGCACCTCTGGGAATTGAAAATGAAATTGAAAATCCTTCATTTGAAATTCTAAAAGTAATTTTAGCTGAACTATGGTGCAAATCCGAACAATATTAATATTCTTGCATATCTAAGTGGTTGCGTTTTTTTGAGACACCCTGTATAGTTCTTGAGTATCTATTAAATGCATGTCGTGTATAAAAAAATGTGTGTAACCATATTCCGATATTTTCGACATGTTTCTGGCGTAAAATACTTAAAAGGATTCGCGAAGCCTTTCACTCACCATGAAAATAAGCCAAGTAAGACTCAGTTGACGCCAATATAGCATTATAAAGTTGAGCATAAGCCATGCACATGCAAGGCTTGAAACAGGCCTCATTAAATGAGTCATTAATATGGTAAAGATTTGATGCCTGATGCGTCATCGTTTTAAATTTATCCGGCAATTAGCCCTCCACACGTATCAGCTCAGCCATCGTTTCAAATTTTTCCGGCACTTGGTACAGCGTTTTCAGATTCTTTCGTTTTTCAGTGGGCGAAAGCGGAATACGTGTGGACGGTAGAATATTCTTGCGTTTTCAAATTCTTCCGGTATTCCGTGTGAACGGGGGCCTTTATTAGCAAGTATATTGTTATATGCTTGACACTGTGAAATAGTTGATTTTCGTCAGAACACGACTAAGTAATAATATAACCTCCAATCACAATCAAGCACTAGTGACATGTTATTATTATTATTATTATTATTATTATTATTATTATTATTATTATTATTATTATTATTATTATTATTATTATTATTATTGAATTAAGAATTGTGGAAATCCACCAACAACCATACAAATATCCAATATGACATATACCACTCCACCAAAGACGTTTTAAAAGAGTTTCGCTCTGGTCATGAAGATAGACTTCAAAACCGCCTGACTAATCAAGGATCCTTTTTCTCGAGTATTACCAAGTTCGCCTTACCACATCTCAACAAGGTCTGGTCATCAGCTCAATCAAAACTTCCTAAAAACATTTACAACTTTACCATACGCTATATAAACAACTCTCTTCCCACGCGAAAAAATCTTCATAGATGGGGAATATCTTCAAGTCCAGAATGTTCTTTTTGTCTCAACCCAGAATCATTATTACATGTGGTCGCTGGTTGTCAATCCTACCTGGAACGTTTTACGTGGAGGCACGACTCGATCCTCAATTTTCTTGCCAATACTGTACAAACTACAGTCCATCACTCTAATCTATTTGTTGATCTACCGGGCTTCAAAAATCCATCCATCCTAACTGGTGAATCGTATCGTCCTGATCTATTAATATCACATCCGGATGGCACCCTCTATGTGGTTGAACTGACCGTTGGCCATGAAACAAACCTTCACAACAACGTTAAGCGGAAAGAACACAAATATAGAGAACTGGTACAAGAACAAAAACAGCATTTCTATGACGTTAAATTAATTAATCTTTCAATAAGCTCATTAGGTGTTTTTGCAAGTGAGTGCTCTAGTTTCTTGGATATGTTAGGTAAGATTGGGCTCGACAAGAAATATCAAACATATTGCATAAATAAAATGACAACAATAGCTATCAGAAGTACTTATTATATATTTTGTTGTCGAAATAAGGAATGGGGAAGCCCAGAAATGTTAGCTTTTTGAAACATTTTGTATAAAAAATTCGCATGCTTTACTTAGGTTATAGTCATTTAATAGTCGTTACTATATATAAAAACATATTATTCAGTTGTGATTCAAGTAGCCAATTATGAATTACCTAATTAAGCGAGATTTATAATTGCATAAGTATATGTAAATAAGAAAACCTTTAATAAAGTTTCCATTATTATTATTATTATATTATATATTATTTATTATTTATTATTATTATATTATTATTATTATATTATTATATAATCCAAGCGGTCTGGTTTCTGGTCTGTTCCTGATGAATGGAAGAAAGCTTGTACTATATTAATACACAAGAAAAATGATACTAATCTTCCTGAAAACTTTCGTCCAATAACTCTTCAATCCGTGCCGTTGAAAGTATTCACTTCATGTATCCGTAATGCAATGTTTTCGTATTTGATTGCTAATAACTTCACCGAACACAGAATTCAGAAAGGATTCACTCCTCATATATCGGGAACATTTGAACACACAGCTCAAATGGCCTATATTATTAACCAAGCACGAATAAGACAGCGATCTCTCGTCATAACCCTACTTGATCTCAAAAATGCTTTTGGAGAGGTACACCATAATCTGATTCAATCTGTCCTTGGCTATCATCACATACCTGATCATATTCAACACATAATTAAAAGTCTTTATACAAATTTTAGAACATCAATCATCACACCTGATTTTAGTACCCCATTTATAAACGTAACTCGTGGAGTTTTACAAGGTGATTGCCTCAGTCCATTGTTATTCAACTTATGCTTCAACACCTTTATCCAGCACATAAAGTCGGAAAAATATCAACAATTTGGTTTTTCGTATAAACTTCTCAACCCGGTTCATTGGTTTCAATTTGCCGACGACGCAGCTGTAATAACCAGCCAAGAATCTGAAAATCAAATCCTACTAAATCGTTTTGCGATCTGGTGTCAATGGTCAGACATGATCATACGAGTGGACAAATGCAGTACCTTTGGCATCAAGAAAGCTCTCACTAAATCAATTCAATACCTCCCGAAGTTATTCATTAATAGATGCTTAATCCCAGTTACGCAAATTGGTCAATCATTTTGTTATTTAGGAAGATTCTTCAATTACGAAATGACAAATGACGAACACAAATCAGAATTACTCTCCTTATTCACCGGCCTGATGAAAGATATAGATCTGAAGCCACTGCACCCAAAATATAAAATTCTTTTATACAGCCGTTATGTACTTTCAAAACTCTCGTGGCATCTCACAGTAGCATCCATTCAAAAAACCTGGATTTCTGAAAACCTGGACTCAGTTTTCAAACAGTACATCCGAAAATGGCTTGAACTCCCTATCTCTGGATCGCTTAGTTACGTTTACCTAACTAGAAACAAATTTGGTCTTAACATCATTCCTCCTTCTACTAAATTCAACCAATGTCAAACAACTATCCGCAGTGTCTTGAAATCTTCTCCTAACGAATCAATAAAACACCTATGGAAATCTTCTTCTAATCATACTAACACTCAATATGATAAATATAATTCAACGAAAGAAGTTGTTAAGTCATTCAGAAAAAGTCAAGAAGATAAATTAGAAAATCAACTGAAATGTCAAGGTTCGTTCTTTTCCAGCATAACAAAATTCTCTCTACCCAAAGTAAACTGTATTTGGTCTACTTGTCAATCGAAACTACCAAGAAATATTTTCAACTTCAGCATTCGGTACATCAACAATTCACTACCAACCCGGAAAAATCTACGTAAGTGGGGACTCTCGTCGTCTTCTGAATGTTCATTCTGCCTTAACCCTGAATCGTTGTTGCACGTTGTCTCTGGTTGCAGTTCCTACCTAGAACGATTTACTTGGAGACACGATTCAATCCTAAATTTTCTTGCCAATAACCTTCCCAAGGAATATATTCAAAACATCTATGCTGACTTGCCATCATTCCCGAATCCCTCAATAATTACTGGTGAAGAATATCGTCCTGATCTACTAATTGTGACCAAAGACAATTGTCTTTATATCCTTGAACTAACCGTCGGGTACGAAACTAATCTAAGAAAAAATGTGCAGCGAAAACACGTGAAATATAAAGATACGATTACGGAACAGCAGAAATATTTTAAAACAGTAAAGTTCGTCAATCTGTCGATTAGTGCCCTTGGTGTTTTTGAGAAAGAATGCTCAGTCTTCATTGATATGTTGGAAAGTTTAAAATCCGACAAGGCTGGTGTACGATATATAATCAGAAAGGTCATTAATATTGCAATTAGGTCAACATATTACGTTTTTTGTTGTAGAAACAAGGATTGGACAAACCCAGATTTACTAAAATTTTAATCTGCTTGTTATATTGCATGTGTACTTGTGTAAATGTAAGGTGTAATAATGCATAATGTATAATCAAATTTTTATATATCAAATTTTTATATATCAAGTAGCCAATTGTAAATTACCTTTAACAGTGAGATTTGCAATTGTAAGTATGTATTAAAGAAAATAAAGTTTCCATTATTATTATTATTACTTAGATTTATATTGTGCGAAGTTCCATAGGAAAATGCTCACCTGCGCATTACATGATTGATAAAACAAGTGTATATACATAAGAATAGAACAATTAAAATATATACCTAATTAATAAAATGCAATCTTAAAAAGATGTGTCTTTAACAATTTTTCAAAATGGCTCACTGTTTTTACACTACGGATGTTGTTTGGTAGTGAGTTCCATAAATTGGGTGCCGCTGATATAAAAGCACGGTCATGCACCTAACGTTTTTAATGATTTAAACTTTGGCTGTGAGAGTAGTAATTCATTGTTCGATCTAAGATGATATTTAGATGGTGCTTTTACGCGAATCAGTTCATTTAAGTACTCAGGAGCAAAGCCATGAATAACTTTAAAAGTTATTAGCAAGATCTTAAAGTCTATCTGGAATTTCACTGGGAGCCAATGAAGATGCATCAGTGTGGGTGTTATATGACAGATCATCTGACAGATATGGAAACGACTGAGGTATTTCAACTGTAAAGGCCGATTTTTTGTCTAAAACTGTCATTTTCAGGCAAACAATATTGTGATGTAACTAATAATGTTTACATAACTTATTAACAATTAGCCAAGCTTACTTTTAATCTCAAAGCACGATGTCAACTATTCGTATATATTTTGTGCAATTCAGCACTTGAATATATACCCGTCGCAAAAAATTAATTCATTAAAATTATCAGTAAATTTGGGTTAATTCGTAAGATAAAGTTACAGTTTGAAGATTTAGACTAGCCATTACGAGATAATGATATGAATATTTTAAGTTGTAAATATTTCTTAGTATTGATATAATTATAAGCAGAAAGCCAACTTGACTAGATAGCATGACAACGAATATAAGTAAACAAATTAAGTAGCTATACGATAGAGTGTACGTTTTATTTGCGATTATACGTGTTTTAAAATATTGCTCAAACCGCCATCCTGCAGAAATGCTTGTAGCTTAGAGGATATATTGAATTAGATATAGAATGAGATATATTGAATACAGCAGGAATTATTATTACCCCATGACAGCTAAACTAGCGCTGGGTATTTTAATTAATTTTCCTTCGAAATTTTTCTCAGATGTAACCAATGAAAGTCTCCCGCACCTCTTCCGGAATCTCGTCCAATGTGAAGTTTATGTAATTTTCTTTAGCGCCAGTATCCCTTACAACGATACCATCCAAGGAGGCTTCAACAGCTATACTCAGTTCGGCAACTTTATTTTCACTCATGCCGGTGGAAAACGTATTATTTTCACTGGAGTATGCCTTGCTGTTAAAATGAATGCTTCCACCGTTTAGGTTCTTACGCTCCAGTTTGCTTCTTTTTGAATATTTACCTTTACCAAGTTTTTGCAGTTTTCGTCTTGTTCCAGAAGGTAGAACGGTGAAAAAGAGAAACACAAACAGTCCTTGAAGTGTGTTGAAAATGCAGAAGAGGTATTGAAACGTAACTTTTGCATCACCAATTGCAAGAATACCGAAAAGCCAGGTCAAACCAAGCAGCACCATAATCGCTATCCCCCGCTTAGCTTGCAAAATGCCTGTTTCCTTGTGGTCTGAGGTGGCCTTTTTACCGGCAGTGAGCAATGATCGCATGATAAAACAGAACGCCACGATATTACCAACAAGAACGAGAATTGTTGGTGTGAAAAACGCCACAATAAAGGGCACGCCATGTAATCTACAACTAAAAAAATGGAGTTTTCCCCAGTCAAATCATGTTTGTTTTATTTGTTTTTAATCAAATGAAAGCTGCGGTTTAAAGTTTAAGTAATTTATTGTCAATTGAGTGACTGTGCATATTGATCCAGAAATACCAAAACTAAGTTGAGCAGTATAATTTATATGGGTTCCTGCCATGGTTTACAATTTGAGAAAACTGGTTAAAGGATGGCGATGCAAACTCTTTGCACCCCAAAACACTGGGTCTATAGTGGGTTGTAATTTCCGGTGGCATAAAGCTTAAACTCATTCTTGGAAATGTAAAGTAAGTAGCTTCTTTTATAGAAGAGCAAGCTCATGTCTATTATTGTCGAGGTTCATGTCTACATCATGTAGTCTATACTTACTAGGTTTTGTCGCCATATTTTTCCAGTGCCACTATCATTGTTATCGCTACAATTACTCCTGGGGATCCTAAAGCGTACCATAAATGATTATATAATTACTTTACATTCCGTAGGTTTTATCGTTAAAAATTGTTTACTGTTATAGTAATATATAGGTCTCCTTAGAAAATGGAACCCACATAAGTATAAAATAATTTTGAAACAAAATCAGCATTTTTGGGGTTTTGGTTTGTCCTGCTTTTATGTTTAGTGCACAAAATATACAAAATTCTAGAAGAACAGAAATTTCTAGTATTAAACTTTACCGAATAATAATAACGTTATTGTGAACGATGGTGTCACATAATTGTGGTCTCACATAATTGTTTATTTGGATCCGCTTTTTTGGGGCACCCCGTGAGCCTCAACGAAACACGACATTTGTGAAGTAGTTGGTTACAGACGAGACAAGCGAGGATCTTCCCGTATTCCTTCAGCCAAGTTAAATTTTTATAGTTGTGCAAAATATTAGGAGTGTTAAAGACATGCAGCAGAAAAATCATAAAGAAAGAAACTAGGCATGCATTCAAAAATCGTACGCAGAGTTTATATCGAATTAATTGATAAATAATTTAATGAACAAAAATTCGAAGAAACAAATTAAAAAACAACCCGGTCCTTTTGTCGGTAGGTACTGTACGTACAATGAAGGGTGTATTGTTATAAATTGAGATTAGCTTGCATTGAATTAATGATCCATAATCTGATATAATTCTTACCCCATGCAAACAAACAGCATTTCATTAAAAACTTGGATGGATGCGAATCCGCAAAGATAATCACAAATGCCCGATACATATTATACGCTTCTACCGCCATCCACAAGAATGCTGCTAACAAGAAGTAATGTAACGCAATGGCCGCTGTCCGACAGCCGGCTAATGATGACGTTTTCGACTCCTCCGCAGCCGCTAAGAATACAATTATCGTCAACGACAAAGCAATACAGAAGTTCAGCAAAATCTGGCTTGGAAGTTGGGTTCGAAGTTCCCTAATTTAGGAAAAAAGAATAATTTGTCAAATAGACGAAAGAGGTGTGGAATGGAATTACATTATATAACTGTTCTTTGTAACCGGAAGTCTAGATACATGCAAAAATATAGGAAAATAATTCCGGTAAAATAGATATATTTTCTTCTCTTGAATTGACTAATATTGATTTTTCTTTGACGATCGCAGCTTCCTATAAACCCATCGCACTGAAGTCAAAATCATTAAAAGTTTAGCTTAAACGGTGGATAAGCCAAATTTTAAGAATACGCTCATATATTTTGTGAATGACTGAACCTGCATCTTATGCATATATAATATGTACTTCCATTGAAAATTAAACTATTTACATTGAAATATTTTAGCTCCGTTGTTCAATAAATAGATAATTTGGTTTTCCATTTTTAACTTATCCACCGTTTAAACTAAACGCCTTTCGAACAACCGGCCCCTTATAGTTTAGGACAGCATTGGACAATCAGAGTCATGTATTTCAGAGTTAACTAGGATTTAACCATGCAGAATGTAGTTGAAGTGTTTTACTCAACCGGCCCCAGATTTTTCCTTGCTTCACTGAAAATAATCGTTATGCGAGCGGTGAAGGTTTATATAGCGGTCAAAAGCAGTTAACAAAGCAAAGTTTCTCAAACTAGTAAATAATTCTGTATTTTTCTCCAAATTTACGTTTTTTAGCAAAATTTATGCTAATTTGTTCTACAGATGCTTAATGTGACGTCATGTGCAAAGGGTCCATTACTGGTCTGTTTTTATAATATAGTAGTGTTTTTTTAACTTATAATACTAATATTGATTGTATTATTATAATAATTATAATTTGTGAATAATATAAATGCATAACAAGATCATACATAAACTAATATGCTAATGTATATGTAGGTCAGTGTCCGCTTTAAGCCATCCAACTGATAAGTATGGTTTTAAAGGGAAGGCAATTAAAGATCTTTTTATCCCGTTAAAGGGAATGTTGGGGTCCTACTTACAAACTCCATGTCGTGGCCCTTATGAACAGCCGTCGTAAGGAATTTTTCCTCGACCATATTAGGTCAAACCTAGTACATTTCTAAGATTGCCTAAATCGTGCTGTATTGGGGATTAAATCGGCATATCAAAAAGTGAACATAAATTGTTTGGACATCCAGTTATTTTCACGAATGAACGATATATGCCAAAGTAATCTTAACTACGTATATTTACCTCAATATTAGTATTGTAATTATTGTAAATGTGAGCCCGACCAGTGATAGCGCACATCCAACATAACTCACTACCCCAAGTATTCTATCGTGTACCGTTTTCTCTCCTGGATAAACATCCTGAAAAGGTGTGATAAAAGCACAAGCATTTATATCTTTCGCGAATGCATATAAACATGACAGTATAATTAAGGAGCTTTGTTCAGAGCTATTGCTTGCATACGAAAATGACGAAAAGTGTCAAGAAAAAGCTATCAAAAAAGGTACGTTTCTAAAGCTATGTTGGTAAAAATAAACTTGTCACGAGAATCTTGTTCATTGTTCACAGGAACAAGTGACGAATCAAGAAGACTTGCAAAGGATGGCTTATTTTAACAGGCTTATTAAACTGACACGATAATAAGCTTACCATCAACATAGCGAAGTTGGTTAAATGATTGCAACTACAAAGCACCCTTCCATAATTAAGAACACCTTCAAACTGACAGCCTTCTTGTGACCAATTTCCTGTGCCTATGGTGAAATTCCAGTAGGAGCACAGTGTACTGTTCGTGTCGCCTTCTTCGATGCTTGATAATGCAAAATGCACTGCGTTGTTTAAATTTTGAACAGATAATCCCTTGATCCTTCCAGAAATCACAAGACTATTCAAGCGACCAAACGTTCTCGTGGTATCCTCCAATGACACTCTGAAGAATTTCGAGTCTTTATAAAGCACAAAAATGACAGTATGGTTCGCAGCACTGGTATTAACAGTCGAATCGTTGAATATTGTTTGTGGAATCATAAGAGATGGTGGGATGCCATTATTTTCTCTTTTTGGTTCACCTGATACGTTGTTAACGCCTGAAAAATTTAGTCCGGAAAAGCTCTGCGTAAGCACAGTTTGTAAGTTGATGGCAAAGTTTCTTTTGTCTGCTTCGAGTTTCCCTTCGGGACCGGCAACTAATGAGTCTGCAAAGTTGTCCAAAATGTTGACAATCCTGTGAAGATCAGAAATTCAGAAAGTAGACACAATCGAATAAACTGATAAGTAAAACAATGAAAAAGCTGAGTTGAATGATTCCAGAATAATTGGGCAAGGCTTAATTGCATTACCATCCAATATATTATATGTATCATCTTGTTTCTTCTCGTTTTATTTTCCACAAAGTTTATGAGACGCTTACAAAAGAGTTAAATAGCTGACATTCTTATTGAAATGCAAACTTTCTATTTCAGCCAATCAGAAAGTTGTTGATTACCAGTGGTGACTCGCGCAAGCGCATAACTTACAAAACCACCCAACGTCGACCGTCCATGATATAGAATTTGGACAACTTTGGATTCTGCTATGTTCTCCCGGGCTCCGGTTGTAATTCCTAATCTCCGAGCGAAATTAGCACCCTCGCAGACGCTCCGCGCCGTTATACTACACTCATCGCTACGCAATACCAAAACTAAAAACTGATAATGATGAACGACACGCCCAAAATTTTGCAACAGAATAGGACTGAAAACTGACGTGGAAACTAATTGGCGTTATTATTTATTCTTTGCACAGGGCATTAATATTATTGGTTTATTTAAATTATTAATCTATACACGCGTACCTCGACGAAGATTTTTTCTCCACTTGTGCTTTTAAGATATTTTCTATTTTGCTGTCCAGCACATTGTCTATTGTGTCGGTGAAATCGTCAAAAATCTACGAAAAACCCACAAACATATTATATTGATTATCAAATAATGGTTGTCGAGAGAGACTTGCAGCTGCGTGTGAGACTTGCACATGCGCACAAGATTTCAGGTGTAATTGCGGACTAAAGCCGTTTTCCATTAGCGATGTTTTTCGCTCGAAGTGAATTTATCATTCCCTTATTCCTTTGTTTTTGAGCAACTCATTCAAGATGGTTGAGAGATCAGAAAGAGAAGTAAAATGTCGCTTTGCGCAAAAATTATCGCTGGTCGAAGCTCCCGGCTTTATTATTAACAATTCTCGGAAGAAGAGGTGGATGTCCCTGAATGAAAGATGATGAATACATGGTTTATATTTAGGGAGCATGAAGTGAACTTACCGGGCATTTACTGAGCATGAAGTGAGTAATTGTTTAATTGTTTTATTACAATTATTATAAAATTAAAAACGTGATCATTTCAGAAAATCTGTCTGCTTTAGAATATTTTTTACAAACGTAAAACAATGTCTGGACAAATGTATCGAAATTTGAAATAAATGATGTTTTATGACCTTTCATGTTTCATTTTGGAAAGCCTTTATGCCAATGCAAATTTTCTTTTGTGCTTTTACAAACAGTATTCAAACAGTCTCTTTTTTATGATTTACTTTTTCATCCTTCACTATTATAAAAAAATCTTGCAGCGATTTTAAAAAAGTTACAAGTTCAGTCGGAGGTCACTAAAGCAATCAATGTCCATAATTTGATAATCATGATTCATACACCTTTAAAATTATACTTATATTGCCCTTATTCTTACGCGTATTCTATTCATTAGGAAAGTTTGTCACTTCAATTGCACACTTCATAGAACAAAGCAATCATCACACTAGCTTGATCACATGTTGTTGATGTTGAAATATATATAACTACAATGCAGTTACATTAAAAAACATAATCTAACCTCGTTTGCTTTTCCTTTCACTGCAGCAATATTTTCTAATACCGTAGCGATATTGTCGATATCTCCTGCGTTTAGAGTACTGTTCTGATCAACAATGGACAAGTTTTTCAATTCTTCGACTATTTTTACCACGTTGTTAACATTTACTTCTTCCTGAAAATTCGAGTGAAATTCGAGAACTGTTCAAGGGCAAGTTGTTTCTTTTGTTAGTTTTAGGCTTGAATACGTTTCAGCAGGAAAAATAAACTTGGCTAAATTTTGTCGCTGATGGAAAAGCTAGAAGAGCTTACTTAGCTTAAATTGTATTACCTCTGACAATCGAAAAATGTCTTTGCTTCTCTCGTTTTTAAATATGCACTTAGTGGCTACAGTAGGACCCCAAACACTTTCGCCACCTCTTTTGTTTGTATAAAAACATTCACGGCTGGCGAAAGACTCGTTGTTGTAGGGACAAGCAACCGTAGAAATGTTTCCAGTTGGTGTTTCTGGCCACAAAAAAATTCCATACGCTTCAGGTGAACCATCAACATCTCTTGAACAAGAACCTTTTAAAACAGGCAAAATGTGATGCAGAATTGTAGCTTTATGGGACATTTTCAGATATGCTTCATATTATATTGCTTTACTAATAATCTAGATTTTCAAAGGGCGAAGCTAAACGCCGGACGAGGTCGAAAAATATTTTGATATTCGTTCCGCGTGTTCTACTGAAGATCTACTGTTTAAACTGATAATTTACACAGTGAATAACAGACTAATGATAAATGTTTATATGTGCATTGAAAAGAATATTTCTGTGAGATGAAGATGAATTAGGCACTCTTATATCGTTACACGAATAAAAATACTCATTATTTTTTCTATATTAAACGAAAAAGATCTAATGTTATATTGAATTATTTAAGAAATATTTTGCGAATGATTTGCAAAAGTTATTATAAATAAAAATGTTTTTATATATTGTTATAAATTGATTATAAACCTACTTCCTATTTTATACCACGTGATCAAAACAACCAATCAAAAGCCATTAAAATAATACAATGGTTACATCGCATATTATTTTTGAATATATGTACTTAGCTGATATCAAATTAGACACTTCAGTATTGTCAAGTGTTAAATTTACAATTTTAGTGCAGCTCATAGACAATTCTTTTTCAATATGAGCATAACAAATTAACCATTGAATAATTTACCAACCTTGCGTTGAAATCGTCGTTTTCACCGAAGGACTGGAAGTGATACTGAAAGCACTACTAGGCGTTACATGAAGTACTGCTGAAATAGTTGTAATTGAGATGTCAATCACTGGCGCAGTAGTCACGTCCTTTCCCAGTGTATGTGAACTTTCCATTTTCAAAACTGTAGATGACTGAGTAGGTAGAATAACCGTGGTTGAAATTGCTGCAAAATTTCAGTGAGATGCGAATTTAGTAATAGTAGTAGGCACTTCTTCTTGATGTTCCCAATTCAAAATTGATCCAGGACAAAAATGGGAAGGGAAATATTAATCACATTATGCCACTGATTCTTTACACACCTGTTGCTGAATCCGTTGCAAGGGGTAGATTTCTTAGTATTGAAGGCCTGGATGTGGCGTTGATTTTAATATATTCACTATCTTCGGTCACAGCAAGCGTTGTCCATTTAACAGACCAATTCGCAGTGGATATGCTATTTAAAGGCATTTTAGTCACTTCGCCTGGTGGCGTATGTGAATTATTTCTCGTCAAAACTACGCGAGTAACTGCAGATGATAGAGTGGGTTGTACGACGGTCGATGACATTTCTGCCATAATTAAAAAAAAACAAACTTCATACTTCATAGTATCTGGTAAAAATTGTTAAAGGTTGTATCTCTGCATATGATGTCTGCAAAAGTTCTTAAAAAAATATAAGTTCTCCAAAATTGCTCAATGCGAATATCAAACAAAGCAGAATTCCTTACAGTTACACAAATAACGTCTTTAGCTGATTTATTTCAAACTTTAAATGCTAATCATGGAGCTGCTGAGCTCCGTTATTCAATGACTCAACATTCAAAACTCAAAAGGTTTGACAATATTAATCAATTTGACAGCCATTTTTGGCCAGTATTAGCCGTTACGTAACAAACCGGTATAATTAGATATCGAATTGAGTCCTTAAACACGCAAAGCAGTCACATTAAAGTGATTACTGACTCGTTAGCTATGAGCCAGCATTCGTACGTTTGTCGTTATATCAATTCAAATTGTATTGTAATTCCAACCAAAAAGGGAATGTGCAATGTTAAAAACAATATAACTTTATTATTAAACCCACCTGTAGTTTGGTTCGTTGACAAAGAAACTGAAGACCTGGATGTGGTGTTGATTTCAACGAATTTTCTACTTGGTGTAAAAGAAAGTATTGCCGAAGAAGGACCAGACAGAATTTTAGTTGACACTCCAAGCTCAGACGTAGTCTTCATTTTTCCTTGGATGAATAGCATGGTTGTAAATAGATTGTAATAGTTAATTAGGAGCTTTATCTGCAGGTAATTGACGTACGATTTCGTGTAAAGTTAGTAAAATCTCTATAGATTAGTGAAATGCCGAAAAAGCCTTATCACTTTTAGAGAATGTGACGAGCAAGGCTTATGAAACCGTGAACGGCCAATTCTTCGCCTACCTGTTGCAGTCCAAATAACCGAAGGCTTGGACAAAGTGATTGTTTGCAAGTGTCTACTAGTTGGCGTTACGAATGGCAATACTGTAGTTGACCAGTTAGTTACAGGTGCTGTAATCACGTCTTGTGATGGCAAATATGAATCACTGCTTGTCTCCAAGGCGACAGGATTACCTACGGATGATATAGCTGGAGCTTCGACTGTTAATGACATTTTTACAATAATTCCCAAAGACACAATAAAAAAAATTATCTATGCTCCTATAAAAAGTAGCTATGAATTTAATTATAATTTGCTTCAATCATCGTAAGCCTAAAAAACCGTCAGACCAAATATTTACCCACCTCTTGTAGTGACAAGTACAAAATTCCTGGCTGTACTTGACACCACAGGAAGAGTTTTTAAGACAGCGTTTAAGAATATTTAAAATGACACAATATATTTTTACGTGCGTTGTAATCGCATCATCTGGTAGCATATGTGGATTCGTTATCCTCAAAACTACCGGATTAACCACGTATAGATGATTGAAAAAATAGTGCAACTGAAGAAAATATTTATGCAATAACTCAAATACAGTATTAATGTATGGTATCAAAAAGTACCTAAATATAACCAAAACTTCAGCCAAAGATCTTAAGCTTATGAAACCGTGTGTATAAAAATATATTATGAAGACGAATTCTTTTCTTACCTGATTTAGGGACGTTTTTGAGAGATCTGAGTTCCGCATTACTGGATGTGACGTTAATTTTAATGTATTTACTTCTTGGAATAACGTCAGAAGAAACTGTAATTGACATGCCATTCGTAGGCACTGTAAACACTGCTGGCGTATATGAGTTATTTGTCCTCAAAGGATGAACTGCAGATGACCGAGTATGTAGTACGACGGTCGTTGATATCTCTGCAAAAATGCAATGCGATAAAATGTTTATGGCAGCAATATATCTCTTCCACAATTTCATTCTACAAATACGTAAACCTGAAACTTAATAGCCTCTTGAGCGTATTAAAACAGTGAAACGAATTGTCTGTTTACTTCTTGTAGACTGAAAGTATAGGATGCCTGGAGGTGGCGAGACTCAATATGTGTATTATTATTTGTCGAAAAATATCCGACACTATCGTAGTTAAAATTTTATTTACAGGCGTCAAAATCACATATAATAGGAACACATGTGAATCTCTCGTGCCCAAAGCACCAGCACAAGATAAACAATTTTCTTCTAAAATGTGTCAAAGCCTTTGAAACCGTGGGACTACGATTACTTCTGAGGTTAATTGGATGAACGCTGAGGTAAGAATGCCTTGATGAGGTCTTTAGTCCAATGTGTTTACTACCTGGCGTCACAGGAAGCGTTTTCAAAATAACATCGGAGAATAATTTAGTTGACATGTTATTTACAGGAGTTGTAACCAAATATTCAGATAGCAGCACATGCACATGTGAATCACTCGTGCCCAAAGTTAAGGAATTAACTGTTGACGATCGAATGGGAAGTGAAGCTGTTGATGGTATTTCTGCAATAATTCAGTAAGATAGAAATACGGTTACTTCTAAAATGCGACTAAATAGAACCGTCGTCGATAAATTCAAGCTTTTGAAACCGCAGGAAGAATAATTTCCCGACCTAACCTGTTGTATGGTCAACTGGATGGATCCTGAGGTCGGAATGCTTTGATGAGGTGTTTAGTCCAATGTGTTCACTACTTGGCGTTAAAGGAAGCGTTGTCAAAATAACATCGGGCAATAATGTAGTTGACATGTTATTTACACGCGTTGTAAAAAAATTTTTAGATAGCACATTTGAGCCCAGAGGTACGGAATCAACTGTTGACGATTGAAGGGAAAGTGAAACTGTTGATGGTATGTCTGCAATAATCCAGTACGATAAAATATGTTTACTTCTGTAAAATGTAGCTAAATATAACTAGTGTCAAGAGTCTTAATTACGCCTTCGAAAGTTTGAGACGAATGATTTACCGACCTGTTCTATGGTGAACTTGATGGGTCCTGAAATCCGAATGCTTGGACGAGGTGTTGAGTCCAATGTGTTTACTACTTCGCGTTAAAGGAAGCGTTGTCAAAATAACATCGGCCAATAATGTTGTTGACATGTTATTTACACGTGTTGCAATCAAATTTTCAGAAAGCACATTTGTGCCCTGAGCTACGGAATCAACTGTTGACGATTGAATGGGAAGAGCTGCTGTTGACGATATTTCTGCAATAATTCAGTAAGATTAAAGTATTTTATTACTAAAATGTGACCAAACATAACTAGCGTCAACAGTCTTAAAACCTTTGAAACCGTGGGACGAACAATTTACCAACCTGTTGTATGCTCAAATGAGTTGAGTCTGACGTCCGAATCCCTGGACAAAGTCCTGAGTCTAATGAGTTTACTACTTGCCGTTAAAGGAAGGGTTGGCAATATAACAGCGGAAGGTACCGTAGTTGACATGCGACTTACAGGCGTTGTACTTGTAATCACATCTCTTGATAGCACATGTGAATCACTTTTACCCAAAGCTAAGGAATTAACTGTTGATGATTGAAGGGGAAGTGAGACTGTTGATGATACTTCTGCAATAATTCAGTGAGATGAAAATTGTTAAAAAAAAATGAAAATTGTTAAACGACTCCTTTTCTTTATGTGTTTTGGCTTCTGAATAATAGCAGGATCGTCGGGGTCGTATGCAGGACAGCTTAATAGTCGAAAACTAACACAACGACCAGCTCTAATGTTTTCCAAATTGTAATTTGTGCAGTTCTTCTGATCAAGACATCAACTGCCTTTTTACATAGCTAGTTATTAATCATAATAGTGCATTGTTCATTGTGCATGTGCAGATGAGCTGAGAATCATGTTAACGTTATAAAATGTAGCTGAATAAAGCTTGCGCGTCGACAGCCTTATATAGGCTTTGAAAGTTTTAGACAAATGATATACCGACCTGTTCTATGATCAACTTGATGGGTCCCCACGTTCGAATGCCTGGACGAGTTGTTGAGTCCAATGTGTTTACTGCTTGCCGTTAAAGGAAGCGTTGTCACAATAACAGCGGAGGGTACCGTAGTTGACATGTTACTTACATGCGTTGTAATCACATCTTCTAATAACACATAGGAATCACTTTTACTCAAAGCTGCGAAATCAACTGTTGATGGCTGAACGGAAAGTGAGACTGTTGATGATATTTCTGCAAAAATTTAGTAAGATTAAGGGGTTGTTTACGTGAGCCCGGTTTCCCGAGATTCAACGAAGCGTGAGAGAACTTTAAAGCATTGAAATAAGTCTTTATGACACCAAACAATCACATGCTATTGTTGTGGTGATTATACGACTGTCAGGATCATGTTATTTGCTCATTTCAATACTTTAAAATCATCTCACGTTTCGCTGAATCTCGGGTAACCGGGCTCATGTAAACAGCCCCTAGATAGTTTTTCTTCAAAAATGTGACGAAACATAACTAGAGTCGATAGTTTGAAACTGTAGGTAGAATTATTTACCAACCTGTTCGAAGGTTAACCGGACGAATGCTGAGATCAGAATGCTTTGACGAGGTGTTTAGTCCAATGTGTTTACCACTTGGCGTTAAAGGAAGCGTTGTAAAAATAACATCGGGCAATAATGTTGTTGACATGTTATTTACACGTGTTGTAATCAAATTTCTGGACAGCACATGTGACTCACTTTTACCCAAAGCTATGGAATTAACTGTTGATGATTGAATGGGAAGTGAGGCCGTTGATGATATTTCTGCAATTATTTTGTACGATCATATAAATCTTTTTATTTCTAAAAGCGTAAAAATTTTTAAGCTTTTCGAACCGTAGGAAGAACAATTTGCCTACCTGTTGCATGGTCAACTGGATGGGTCGTGAGAGCCGAATGCCTGGACGAGGTGATGAGTCCAATGTGTTTACTGTTTTGCGTTGAAGGAAGCGTTTTTGAAATAACATCGGCGGGCAGTAAGGTAGTTGACATGTTATTTACAGGCTTTGTAATCACATTTCTTGAAAGCACTTGTGAATAACTTTTACCAAAAGGTACGGAATTAACTGTTGTTGATTGAACGGAACGTGAGATTGTTGATGGTATTTCTGCAATAATTCAGTAAGATTAAGTATTTTTACTTCGATATAAAATATAGCTAAATCATACTTGCGTCAACACTCTTAGGCCATTGAGAGCGTGAGATGAATGATTACCGACCTGTTCTATGGTCAACTTGATGGGTCCTGAGTTCCGAATGCCTGGAGGAGGCATTGAGTCCAAGGTGTTTACTGCTTTGCTGTCTTAGTGTTACAGGGATGGTTTTTGAAGTAACATCGGACAATACCGTAGTTGACATGTTATTTACAGCTGTTGAAATCACAGTTTCTTGTGAAACATGTAGATCACTGCTCGCATCCAGAACTGCACGATTAACTGTTGACGATTGAATGGGGATTACAACTGAGGATGATTTTTCTGTAATGAGAGACACGATTTTAGGAAGATTGTGTGAAAGATGAACTTTTTCCTTTATTTTAATAATCTGTTAAATGCCGTGACTAAACATTAATCTAAAATGTGACTAAACATAACTAGCGTCAAAGCCTTTGAAACCGTGGGACGAACAATTTACCGACCTGTCTGAGGTTAATTGGATGAATGCTGAGGTATAAGAATGCCGTGATAAGGTTTTTAGTGCAATGTATTCAATACCTGGCATCACAGGAAGCGTTTTCAAAATAACATCCGAGAATAACTTAGTTGAAATATCATTTACAGGAGTTGTAACCAAATATTCAGATAACACGTGCACATGTGAATCACTTGTTCCCAGAGTTAAGGAATTAACTGTTGACGATCGAATGGGAAGTGAAGCTGTTGATGGTAATTCTGCAATAATTCAGTAAGATAAAAATACGTTTACTTCTAAATTATGACTAAATATAACTATGGTTAATAATTTCAAGCTTTGGAACCGTAGGAATTTGCCAATCTAACCTGTTCTATGGTCAACTTGATGGGTCCTGAGTTCCGAATGCCTGGAGGAGGCTTTATGTCGAATGTGTTTACTGCTTTGCTGTCTTAGTGTTACAGGGATGGTTTTTGAAGTAACATCGGACAATACCGTAGTTGACATGTTATTTACAGCTGTTGAAATCACAGTTTCTTGTGACTCATGTAGATCACTGCTCGCATCCAGAACTGCACGATTAACTGTTGACGATTGAATGAGGATTGCAACTGGGGATGATATTTCTGTAATGAGAGATACAATTTTAGGGAGATTTTATGAAAGATGAACTCTTTTCTTCATTTTAATAATCTGTTAAATTGAAACCTTAAAGTATGAAAATTCTAAATTTGGAAATAAAGGAACGGGAGCATAGTTTTAATGTCATGAAATCGATCGAATTCTTTCGCAAATAAAGAAGTCCCTCTCGAGCTCGTTGGAACAGAGCTTCTTAAATGTTACTAGACTTATACTTCATGACTTTTGATACTCATGGATACGAAATCCATTTCTTGAATGTAAATCTGGTGTCAGTGTTTCTGGTTGCAGAAATTCTAATCACTGGAGCTGTAGCAATTTGGAATTCAAAATTGTAATTTTTCTGAGCACGTCACTTTTTAGGGGTAAATTTTTCAGCACTTGCACGGACTATAACAAAAATCCCAACAATACATCGTATATAATATTCTATGGTGCGAAAAGCAAAGGTGTAGAAGGTCCTGTGTCGAATATTTCGACAAACCTCCCTCACGTCAGGTCTATAAATGATAAATATACGGTATGTACTTATTAGCTTTGTTCATATAGCGGAGAAATCGATAATCTAAAAGTATACGTTATAATTTATATTAATGATATGCATATCAAAATGAAGCTCTTGATCATTTCTTTCATAAAATTGGATAACTGAAAACCAAAACGATAAACTACACTGCAAAAAATGCAGTCGAATTGAAATTACTGTAACAATCTGAAAATATTGTTGTAATTCAAGGGACGATGGTGCACAGTGATAGCACTTTTTTATTTGAGTGATGTAATATTCACTTTCTTCATGATTTAAGGAATCTAATGATATGTTAGTTTCTGTCCCTAGCATCAACTAATCTAGCTATGACTACAAAGCTACAGGTGATATCGAAATTTAGAATTTTGAGAAAAAACCCCGGGGCTGCAAGAGGTAATCCATATTTTACATTATTTCGTTAACTGCATCGTTTGACAAGTTCACTGCTTAATATCTTCAGGCGAATATATCAAAACTAGACTAAATTAAATATTAAAAAATTATATCTTACCATAATATATCGATGTAAAATTCAAAATAAATCCCTCTGCGCGCATATTATTGTCGGCGTAAAAAACAAGATGGAGCTTAGATCCAGAAGAAACCAGTCTTCTTGGAAAATTGTCTCCACAAAACCGGCCCAGTCTTGGCGCGTGCTTCGAATCACCATCATAAACGTCCAAATAATCCCACGCACAGGAAGGATGGCTCTCCAGCTAGAAGTGAAATAACTCCAAATTTGATATTGAAACTTTTAATTACCCAATTAGTGGAGTCGATTTGTACCAGATGATCAACCTACGATCAACCTCAATCCAATAAACGCGACTAAATATGAAATTAATCTCCTTTTACATTACCAGAAATTTGTGACATGGTGATTTGCATATAAACTAATTTGCATATAATTTTCAACAACAAAGGCCTTTAAATTTTACTGTAAAAATACACATAGCAAAAGTTCAAAACCTAAAATTGCCGTTACCCTAGATGTTGCCCACTGTTTGCCGACCTCTGGATCAATAGAACAGCCATTTTACAACGCTTTGAAGATCGAATTACTTACCTTGGGTGTCTCTACGTTCCGCCAACCGACTGTATTCAAATGTGTATATACGCTTTGTATGGTTGAACTGCCTTACGAGACTGATAACATTTTTAATCTGCAACTGCAGAAAAAATCCGAGCAGTACAGGAAATTTCCTGTTAGGAATACGAAACACAATATCTTTAACAAAATTTTTTGGTATATCACACGTCAATTCATCAACAATCCGAATCGAAATGTAGGTATGAATGTGAGCTATTTTATAAGTTCGTTGAGAGAACATGGCCAAATTTTTGGGCATTGTATTTTTAGATTTGGCGGACTGCAGAAATACCCAAGGTAAAAGATTCGGTTACCAAAACGTTTCTAAACAGCTATTCTATCCATCCAGAGGTCGGCAAAAAGTGCTCCAAGTCTGTGGCTCTGACGTTACGACGTTTTAATTTTTCACCCAATGCATGTAATTTATAGTAAGCAACAGCCATATTGTCACCAATTTCTGGTAATGAAGATTTAGAGATCAAATTTCGAATAAAACTATAAAGGTGCTCGGGAACGTAATATTAGGATTAAAAAAGTGCAATATAATGGCAGGTTCCCTAGGTACGAGGTTGCTATCTCACATAGAACACTATACGGTTTTCGAACCAGCGAGCTCAACCTACCTTGAATAGAGAAAACTGCAAGAGAACTTTCTGTCCAATCGTGCTAAAAATAGTCCAGGTGCAGCTCATGCTGTTAGGGTATCGAGACGGATAGTCGGGACTTTTGAGCGTACCAGGAGAGCACAAGAAACTTTGGCCACATGCATCTACACATGCAGAAGTATTCAATGAATGCAAAAACTCAAAGCCGAACAATTACGAGATAAGCAATAGGGGTCGATCGGCGGGACTGCTGAGAATTGTCAATATTGACATTGATAATTTGATTGATTTATTAAATTTAAAATATTCTGACAAAGAATTTAAAAGTAATAATGATATTAGAAGTCGTACGAGTTTTCTCCATCTTGCACGGACTTCTAATATTATTATTACTTTTAAACAGTGGCGTAACCAGCCTGACATATTTAGTCATGCTATGCTAATATTTTGGTGTTCATCGACTGTGAAAACACTGAATTTCACATGAAATGAATAATGATAATAACATAAAATTTGCATAGCATGACTAAATCGTCAGGTTGGCTACGCCACTGCTTTTAAACTCTTTGTCAGAACATTTAAAATTAACAGTCAATAAGGTTTGGTAGGTTTGTGAATGAAACCTAAAGTCGAGTTTACGTTACAATAAATTTGAATCATGCGAAATTTTGGTACGTTTCACATCACAATTTAACGAAACGCTTTCCTTTCATACCATCATTATTCGCATTCGCAACGATTTTGTCGACGACGGCGTAAGTTCACTCGAAAAAGTTCCAACATTATCTATTGTTTAGATAATGTTGCAATATTTATAGCCGACAACTGATATAAGATAAACTCGAAACGAGAAAGTGAAGTGCCATTGTTTGACATACCTGTCGTATGGTCAATTGCCAGAGTTGCTGGGCGTACACAACCTGATGTGGTAGGAACTACATGTGATGCGGAGATATCATAAGGAAAAATTGCAAGTTTAATTAACCGTCGAGATGTTAGCAGGGAGCTGCCGTGGCTAACAGTATATGACCACGGGTACAGGATTCGCAAAAATCGATGCTTTTGCCTACGTCATCTGACGACACTCGTTGTCTTTGGGCTTTAAAGACGAAATAAATCTACAAACTCGTACTCAAAAGCTCGACGACAACGACTTTTGGCTGATGGCGTAAGAAAACAGCACGCGAGAATGACAAATCTTGTACCCATAGTCACTGCTAAAGCTCCCTAATTTCATCTCCTGGAAATCATATTTAGAGCCATTCATTGCAAGACTGTAGATGGTTGGGCGGGCATGCAGCATGTTGACGATGATAAGTCTTGTAAAGATGACATTGATTGGGACATTCGGGTTGGAACATTCGTCCGCTAAGCATATATGACACCTGCTGTGTCTATTTCCGAGAAGTCAGATTTTGAGCTGGGCTACTGTATATTCTAAAGATTAGGTTAATGGTTGACGCGAATTTAAACTTTACAAATTTCAGATGTTCTTTTACTGGTAAATTATAAGCACGCAAGTTAGTGCACGTTCTTTTTGCCAGCCAAATAACTAAGGCTGCTCTCTACTGGTCCCTACTGGACAAAGCGTGCATTCTATTGATAGCGAACAAAAAAGATTCAAAATTATTGACACAGTATAGCAAACTGGGTTTTAATTGCTTACGTGGTAAAGAGGTGATATCGTCTCGTGGTATGCGTGAGATATCCACTGTCGAAGCTGTGGTATTTAAAAGGGTAGGAAGTGCGACGGTCCTTGAAATTTGTGACACAATCTTTATTGACGACGGTATCCTCGGCAAGAGCGTTGAATTTATATTCTTACTTTTAATTCGACCTATCAAATGTAACAAAAGGATAGCACTCAAATATATTCTTGCCATCGCGCTATTCCCAGTCGTCGTGTTCTCAAATTGAGGTTTATGTTGTTCAGCTCCACCAATGCAATACAAATCTGGCGCAGATCATCATGCAAGTCCTTTGAAACAAAGAAAAACTTGCATGCCTAATTAATTTCACCGTAAAAGGATTTTATGCTTCAAAAATACTTTGCGTATTTAGGTAATTGGTTTATTTTAGTATCACACCTATATCTTCTTCTGTCATTCGCCATTGATGTATTATAAGTGATCCAATAGCTTTATTCTCATAACGCTATTTTATAAAAATATAATGCACTGGTGCTATATTATGGCACTGATGCCATTTACCTACTGGTCTACTACAAGAAATCCAGTCTAGACAAGATATTGTGTATTTTAGTCGTTCATTTACGATATACCCTAGCGTTCGACAAGAAGTCCTCAAGGAAACGCTGTTTTAAAATAAAGACATATCTTACTTGGACACACCTGAGAAAATTCGCAGACGGCAGGCACCGTTTGGCTGCCTCAAAATTGCTTTCTTATCGTGTGATTATTTACTAAAGTCAGGAAATAGCTATAGTCCTCACGAAACATAACTAAAACAGCGTTGATAAGGAATGATTCAAAAGCGCATAATTTATTTGTTGCAGAGAATGGAATGTGCATAAAAGGGTCATTAAATTTAACATGCTAGAGTGGCATTTTTTTGTTCAAATTATGATTATTATGTTTAAAGCGGTTCGATAGCGCCCTGGTGGCATTAATGATACCTAAAACCAGTTGCTCCGTATAAAATAGTCGTCTATATCCAACATACGATACCAGTACGTTTACTTATTTGCTCATCAAATATTTGCGCACCCAATCATACATAGGGCTTTATATGTGAATAGACAATTATTTCTATTTTAGACTAACTTTCTTTATCTATCCAATATATAACGAAGGAAAACGCATGCCAAAGATTCTTCACCGCAGGACAAGGAGTACTATTAATCTCTCATTACACAAGCAACATTTTAATAATTATTTTTTTAATTTTAGTATAATAAACCGTAATTTTTAGCAGTTCATGCGCTTTTTGGAACATAAATTTTAATGCAAACTTGATGATTCTGGTCAATGCACAGTATTTGTCAATATTTTGGTTGAATCATGCTAACAATAAGATCTGCGAAGAGATAAAAACGAATCACTTTTAAGAAGTAATTGATTATTTCTAGACTACATTCTCATATTTGTGTTCCAATGAATTCGGCTCCTTGGTCTCTGTTCTACTGCATTGTGCGCTTCTTTTTTAGAAAACCCTGTGGTTTTGTTTACCTTGAAAAAATGCCTGGAATGTAAACGTTTGAACGTTTGTCTGGTGTTGTCTTGTGCAGATCGAGTAGCTGCATAGAAATTTCTCAATCATCCTCTTCACGTTAATGCATGCATTTTGTTCTAAAGAGTATCGCCGATGTAAACTTAGTGTGTTTTATACATGCAGTGTGCCCTAGAAACGATGATAATCAAACTTTAAAATGCCATAACGCATCATTATTTGCAGCCATGCATTTGCATTTAATTGGGAAATTTTTGTCTATAATTCTAATCGGCTGAAAGGTATTCGTTTATGTATTGCTGTTATGAAACATTGAAAATTGAATGATAGCTACTATTGGAAAAGTAAGAATTGTACTATTTGATATTAGCGACTGCTCATTCATACTACGTTAGGATTTCATAATATCATCTTCCACAAAAGTCTGTTATGAAAGTCTGATGAATAACACTGTAGAAAAATTTAAATGGCTAAAGCTTGCTAAATGCCAATCATTTTTACAGAAGACCAGACTAAACTCCGATAATGGCGGTAAAGAAGGTAAACATAATGTAGAGCGTCTGGGAGAGCGTGCTGCTAAATATTCAGAGCGGGGAAACGTGTTTTCTACGAACCTGGACACTCCGTAGTCCGTAATTCTGCGCGCCGTGTCTGCACCTGGCGCTGTTGGGAAGATTTCAAACGCCCACATAATGATGTTATTGCTTCCAATTTTCAGCAACCTGGTCACAGCGCAAGGAACAAACAAAGAGACACTTGAGTCGGAAGCTTTTAACTAGTTGGTGGTCATTATAAACACGTTGAAATGTTTGCCCGCCCTTGTCTGACGAACTGATTGCTAAATATAGGGTAAACATCGCAGGTTTTAGTGCTCTACATCCTCCTCATATAGAGACAAGGAAGGCAAGATAACATTACGCAATCTCATAAACATTTCTTACCTGACCACCTTCTTGATTATCGGTGCTTTGCAAGTAAACAGAATATTTGTTCTGACAAATCGACAAACCCCTCTTCGCATCCTCTTTCTCGTTACATATAGTTCAAAAACTCATGTCCACGTACCAAAACTAGGAGGAATTCTGTATTATTGTACTGAAATCAGTGAGCTTACTCGTGGGAGGCAAATAGTGTATAGACATCTAAATACAAGCTGAGAATACACTAGCTCTTGTTGTTCTTATTGTTCGAATATTTCTTATTCTGTGTCACGTACACGTTTACCCACGTATAGTGCAAAAGACGTGTACATGCATGGCGATGAATCTCTGAGCAAACGTGTTCGCTATAAGCTGTTGCTCTTGCAAATTTTCAATTCAAATGTGGTTTAATCGATATGCAACGATTTTGTATGATCAACGAAGTGGAACTACGTAAACATGAATGACCGGTATCCCGTCTTGCCTGAATTACGGAAAATCAAATGGACACGTACTGTAATTGATAAATACCGTGGCGGGTGTGTGAAAAACGCTTATCATGATAGCGAATTTATTGCCAATTTCCGTTTGTCTTGTAGCGTAAAATGTTGCGAAGTTCGTTCCCCATCACCCCATGCAGTTCACTTTCAATGCAGTACAGTTCCCGAGTTCACAAACTTTCCAGTCAAATTGTGCATGTCGAATCAAGGAGCTCTATCATCATCACTGAATAATTTATGAACTTGGAAACTCGATAATTGCAGTGGGGAGCAGACATTTGAACTCTCCAAGGAACGTCACAACATCACTCATAAGAGCATTATATAATTGTCGCGTCAAAACGTTTTGTCACCCGGAACGGCGCCGTCAATGATAGGGAATACTCAGATTGTTGCAAACAATTCGTACAGTATTTACAGTCAGTAAACAGTAGCTACATGTCACGGGTACGTCCATGCACCCGCGCGTACTCCGTACTCGCTATGCGATTGGTAACAGTCAATAACTGTTATGAAAATAAACAGCAAAATAACTGTTATGAATAAACAGCAAAATAAACAGCAAAAATAAACAGCAAAATAACTGTTATGGATAAACAGCAAAATAAACAGCAAAAATAAACAGCAAAATAACTGTTAAAATAAACAATAAATAAATAAACTAATAATAATAA